GATATCAATCAGTGTCCATATATCGTATTTACATCGCATGGTGTGCATAAACATCAAATACCACCTCGTCGAGAAAGTAAATGCCTTGAGCCATTATCGATTTAATTAATAAATTATCATTAACTGGATTATATAGATAGATAGACGCAAACGCCAACTATCCTCTTCATCTAGTATCTCTGAAACCTAACCCGCTTTACCACAACCCCCGTTGTCTCAAAGAAGTGCAAAATCTGCCTCCCGATCTGCTTCACAGAATGATAGTAACGAGTATTTCCCCATGTGGGTAAGATAATACTTACTAATCAGTTAGGTCCTTAAGGTCCTCTCAGTATCTTCGCGATGATGCGTCAACAAATGCTTTGGCTTTAGAACAGAGACATCAAGAGCTTGAGCTTCGAATGCTTGAAGCAGATGTTAAACAAAAGGAAGCAGAAGTCAAACAACGAGAAATGGATCTCAGAAAGCAAGAGGAAGAAGTACTTTCAATGGAGCTTGCGAATGAGAAGTTGGAGCTTGAGCTTAGAGTGGCGGATTCAACTTCTAGAACGTCACCAAATTAGTTTACATTAAGTGGTTAAAGAGTGGTTAAAAGTGATTAAAAATAAATATTGATATATACTAATACTAGAGTATTGCACCGAAAAATAGATGCAAATTAGTCCTCTGCTTAAAACTGCTTGTAGGGAGTCTATTTATTGATAACCCTGATCACTAAGTATAAGGTATTCCTACTCGCTCGACTTGAAAAGACGACCCCAACTCATCCACAACCACCATCAAGGCTGATACTAAAAGCTTCTTCATCCTGTTGCTGTTATTTTTAACCTATGGACTTTGGACCCCATTTTGCGTATGCAAGGTGAGATGGCAGGGTGGGGGTAGATATTAGGCGATTAGTTAGATCACTAATATTCAGCCAGGCCTGCAGATTATCGTTATTTTACCTATTAGAAGGATCAACTGGAGATCATCTGAGTGGGGGTATTGCTTTAGCTTGATCATCGGCACGCATATCTTGGATGCATAGTATTGGAAATGCACATCAGCACGTGGGCGCTTCACTGGAGGGACGGAGAGTGGCTTAGCTTCTAGTTCAATAGTATCTGTACGGGGACACGAATAATACCTCCGATTACGCCTCCCCAGGTAATAGTTTACATTACTATCAAGGTAATAGGAGCAAGGTGAATCGTGTATATCGGTTAATTTATTTATCCAGCTACTTTGGACCGGCTGATCGGTCCAGGCCTTTCTAGAACGATCATTTGGACTTATCCGTCGGTTAATAGGCTGAAGTTACTTCGCATTTCTGCTAAATGTTTCATCTATAGCATGGCGTTCGCAATGATGTAGAATCGGCGGTGTATGAAGTTCTATGCATCGGTTTCTGCGGTAGTGCATTGCTTTACGAATCCTTCTCTTTATCATCGCCTTTTCATAAAATGTACACGAATCTTTCCCAGCATTTTTCGCGACAGCATCAGTTCTGAGTTGAATAAATGCTCCTTCAACGCGCTGAATAGTGATGTTATGACAGCAGAGTTTCTTATACTACTAACTCCTCCGACAATCCTATATAATTCTGCTGAATTGTAGCTTCCCACGGAGAGTAATTGCGCAGCGGAAGGAAGCGTACTATGGCTTCTAAGGCCTTTGTAACAAAACCACTCCGAGATAAAAACATAGAAAATGTAATAGGGATTCTCTGACACGCATATGTTCATCCTCATAGTCATATCTCATCCCACTGCCCTCAAGCCAATAACCCTGAGGGCGTTGAAGCTATGCTGAAATGCAATCGACACAGCTCCACGGATTAAACCAAGCCATTATCACATCTAAGCGTATTATAATTGGAGACTGCCACAGGTCTGCGTAGGTTGTAGCGGCCGATTTTCCGATAATTGTATCCCCCAAACAGATTCATAAGTCTCGTGGAATCAGGCAGCCCTTTTCGCCGGTTATAGACTGGTCTCGGCGTTCGACTACCGCACTATTGAAGGTAAGGTCGCTGGAATTGTGAACGGGATGTGACGGTCTAGGTCGTTATGTCCTATTCGACGGCTCAAAAGGAAGAAGAAGAGCAAGCATCCCTATGAATCTATACAATCCAAGACAGACCCAAATGAGAACAGATGTTTCCACATTCCTGTATGTCGCGATGAACGGAGCTGCAAGCAAACCAAGCCTGCCACTGGCAATATTCAAACTGGAACCGGTGGCCTGATGTTCAGTCTGCATCACCTGTGGTGTATATCTATATTCCACATTAGTTCCCAAGTCATAAAAGAGATTAGAAAGAATCGACACACGCATAGAAAGCAGCGTATGGGGCGTAGAGGCTCGGTTAAGATGGTAATGTCGACCGTATACCTTCTGAGCTGCACGCAGCCACAAGCTTGATGGTCGTGATGCTGTCACCTCCAGGCGTACGATGCAAATTGCAGCGCCCTGGTCTGCTCGCGGGCATGCAAGGGACCGGAATGATGGCGAACGCCGGAAAAGATGGCTTGACGCTCAATCATCACCCTTTCAGGTTTCCCAGTAGATCTGGATGTGAAGACTACATAGGCCAGGTTATCCGGGCGAGACTGTATCAGCCAGCTTTCTTGGGACTGATAAATCATCTAGGATATCCTGGTCCACGACTAAGTGTGGGAGGTCTTCCCACATACGTTGGTTTTGCCGAGAAGCGAGAGTAACAGGGGCTGCTGTTTGTCACACTATTTCTCACTGGTGCTCCTGTGGGTGCTCGCAACCTAGAGCTACAAAGGCGGCACTAGCCTTGTGCACAGCTAACATGGAGATGATGGCTCAAGACCATTTCTCAAAACAAATTGGGGTAAGCGTATCTGGATAAATTGGGAACACTGCTAGAGCCTGGATACGGGCTGCGAGACGGTCTGTTGCTTGCCACAGATCATGGGATGTGAACGAACCATCCTAACTATAGAGAGCTTCCTTCTGAGGATGTTGCATAACCTGCCGTTCGGTAAGTGCATGGATGGTCGCTTTCTCGATGGGTAGGCAACTTGCATTCCACCCCAGCAGCTGTTCCATATCACTCTGACTCACAGCAGGGGTCGCAGATAGCTTCTGATTCATATTCACGGCTCCTAGTTGACGTGTAGCAAACTCCCACTGACCCAGGAGCCTCCGCACCTGCGCCTCAGAAATCATGTTTGGGTCAAAGTGGGCGGTAATGCCTATTGACCCATCTGGACAAAGACTAGCGTAGAGTACAAGGCTGTATCCATAAATATGCTCAACGGATAGGTCGTGACGCTCGTTTGCAAACAAGTCTGGCCTCTCAGGTTGTGGTGGCTGGATAACCAGCACACACTGCATTTTGCAAGCGTTTTTTGCCCCCGGATTGAGGTGTTGAAGTCTCTGCATACCGATCGCTTGAAACTTTGTCGCATTTGCCACGGAACGCTGCACATCCAAAAGAAACTCCGAGACAGTTTTCGTGCCATCGACAAACAGTCGCAATGGGACTGTATTTAATGTCGGTGCAGCAATGTCATCTATACCTTGCACTGGTAGATGTCTACCATTTAGCACGGCACCAAACACAACGTCTGTTGATTCGACGTAGTAGGAATATGTCATTGCCCATGCTGCTTGAAGGATGACAGATTGCCTCGCAATTGCAGGTCGTTTGTGGAGATTGAAATGGCGCCTAATGCTCTTTTCTGCGTAGGGGCAGTAGTGATGGTTAGGTACGGTGGGATATGTGTCTGTAGTAAAATCCCCCAGCGTTTCCTCCCAGTATAATTGAGCCTGATCCATTCCACTAGTGGCATGTTCAACGAAGGTAACGAAAGGCGCGTGAGGTTTCAAAGATATACCATTATATGCCTGCTGAACGTCATTCAAGATCATATCGAAGCTGTATCCATCGTAAAGACTATGGTGTACCGTCCAGATGAAGTACGCTGGACCCTGGCCACGAGCGGGCACAATAGAAAACCAAGTCAGATTTTCTTCAAGAGAGGCATGAAGTGCTCTATGTGACTCGACAGCTTCATCTAGACTTGGAAAGTAACGCCATCCGGGAAGCCCCTTCAGGACAACTTGGGTGAATGACTGTCGTCGTCCTGTCGCTATAATTCGGGTCCGAAGGATTGGGTTCAGCTTCAAAACCAATTCCCATGCGTTTTGGAAACGCTGGATGTTAACCTTCTCACACAACTGGAAGACATAATGGCCGTTGTATGCAAACGGTTGTAAGGATGCCAACGCCATGAGACCTTCCTGAAATGGTGTACATGGATATATGTTTTCGACCAGGTTGGTGTCAATGCCACATTTGTGTGCTGCTTCTTCTCGTAGCAGCGTGGATTGGAACCCTGACAGCCGCCTCTCTCTAACCATAGCAACCTGGGTCGCTGGATCATAATGATGCACATTAGCTACCATCTCGCATAGTTTGGGTGCGAGAAATAGATCATGGAAGGCGAGTTCTAGATGATATTTATGTAGTTCGCGCACCAACTTTATCGCTGACATCGAGTCGCCAAACTGAAAGAAAATATCGTTCATGCTGAAAGTGGACTCCGGAATATTTAGGATGCAGGACCATGCCTTTCGCACTATATGCTCCGTTGGACTAATTTGTGTGCTATCATCGGGCTTCTTCTCTGGCACACGCTTCTCGAGGTATTCCGTTGCCAACCTTTGCAGGCTCATGCGGTCGACCTTCCCCGAGGCAGATAATGGGACATGTGACAGGGCTATGAATATGTGTGGAACCATGTATGGGGGTAGGTGCTGCCGTACATATTCTGCTAGATGGTCTATAGCTTGGAGATATCGCTTCTCCGTCAATATCAGGGTGTCATTAGTAGCCTCTCGGAATGAGATGAAGGCCACCAACACTTGGCCTCTCGCGACCCCGGGCCGCATGATGCAGTCTACTACGACATCAGTGGAATCGCACTGCTGGGAAATGCAGTTTTCAATTTCTCCTCGTTCCAACCGTTGTCCATTTATCTTTATCTGTTTGTCTCGCCGTCCAAGGTAGTCTATTGTTCCATCGGCAGTATAGCGAGCAGTATCGCCAGTCCTATAGAAGCGTTGAGAACCGTCACTCCCCCACACATGGCTCTTTACGAACGCCTGACCGGTTTTGATGGTGTCATTGAGGTATCCACGAGCTAAAATTGGACCCTGTATAAGAAGCTCTCCGATAGCTCCAACAGGACATAGTTTGCGATAATCTTCAGGGTCTGCAATGTAAGCCTTGCAACCAATTGGACGGCCAATATTCGAGGCCATGGCTCCTTCTAAAGCGATATCGCCAGACAGCGAGAAGATAGTACATTCCGTAGGCCCATACGCATTGATAACCCGACGATTGTTTGTCCATCCTTTGATAGAATGAGGGGTGACCTCCTCTCCTCCCAGGAGCAAGGTACGAACTCCAGGGACCTCAGTTGGGTCAAGTGTTGTTGCATATGACGGGGTAAGAAATGCCCAATTCGCGCCGAGCTCATTTATTACCAATGCCGGTGTCTGTAAGCGGGCATCGTCATCCGGCATGCAGATACATCCACCATGGTATAAAGTACCGAGTATCTCTGTGATGGAGGGATCGAAACTGAACGGAGTATTCTGATAAACGCGAGAAGAACTGCTAAGTCCGAAGACACTACCCTGTTTCTGGAGACCATGTGCGAGGGCCCTGTGATCGACAACCACACCTTTGGGCTTCCCCGTACTACCGGACGTGAACATACAGTATGCTGCGCTGTCCAAGCATGGCCCATTAGGCTCGGGACTTCCAGTCCTTATGCTCGCAACGGCGCTGTGACAGACAGGTACCCAGGCCACCTCTCCCTGGAAGCGTTTTCGCAGGTTGGCTAGAGGGCCGTGAGATAGTTGTCGCTCGGATCCAAGAATGACTGTTGCGTTGACTTGACGAATTATGCCCTCGAGCCGATCAACAGGGGAATCATGATATAGGGGCACAAAGGCGCCTCCAGCTTTGTGGACTGCCAACATGGCAACAACTGCCCATGGCGACTTTTCGAAGCAAAGCGGCACGAGTGTCTCCGACACTATTCCACACCTGACCAGCTGACGCGCCACTATCGTAGAGTATTGATCAAGTGTTCCGTACGTCCAAGTCCCCTGTGACGAACATATAGCGGCAGATGCCATCGGATGGCATGATACTACTTCAGGTACACATTCGTTTATCGAGGAGGCTTCTCCCCGATTCCAGGCCTCTATCTGGCGAATACTTTTGGGCCCCGCCAGATTTACTTGATTGACTTTTGTCGCAGTGTTGTCGCCTATACATGCTGCGGCATGTAGATATGCTTCTGTAATATACGGAACGAGGCGACTGAATGCATGATTCTTCGTATAATGAATCGTGATGGAAAGAGACTTTTCAGTGCAGATAGGCACCACTATCATATCATACTAACACCTATCAGCTAATGGCATTCGACAGAAGGGATTGTTATGAGCTGGAACTCGGCGTACAATCAGCTTTTCAGCCCCTAACTGTATATTGTTGCTTGTAGCAGGAGTATCAAGCCACAGAAGAGTATTTGCAGTTTGAGAGTCATATTCACTTTGTGGACAGGTATAATGTTTGATAGCAGCAGCTAAGCTGTCATTCTCAGTTAGGATAAACTCGCAAATCATTGGATCTCGCGCCGATGATGGTTTGCTAAGATTCAGATAAGCGAACGCGACGTTATCCGAGCCTGTATATGCCCGGAGAACCAGAGCCCAGGCTAGCTTCTTTGTATCCTCATTGAGGTGTGTCACGGGATGATCAAAGGTGGCAGTGTAGGTCCCCCAACCTGCATCACCATCTAATAGTTGAGACTTGGCCATGGTATCAAGGGAAGGATGAGGTTAGATGTGCACTCCTTAAGTCGGGGAGCCTAATGTAAAAGGTGAAATGAAATGCGATTTGCGTTCGAAGCGGTGTTCATCTCTACAAGCCGCACCCAATGCCCTTTGTGGGTAACAGACTATACGATTATATTGTCGGTCTGGACCGGGCTTGCCTCCGTGATTACTCAACCCTTACAATAGGGTGTAACTGAACAGATGAGCCCGTGTGAGCCCTAGGTAGCATCGCAAGCCGATAGAGTTCGGAGCTCGGAGTGGATTCACTGCAACAATACCTCGATAAGAATTTAACGAAAAGCTAAGGTATAACTCGTCCGGGTCATTATTCCTTACCATAGGAAATTATAGACGCCACCACAGGGTCCCATGAAGATACAAAAAATACTGGCTACTTGTTCTATTCTAGGTTTCGTCCGAATTAGTAGAGGCCAGTGACCTAGTCGACTGCGGGTTTGAGTAAGTGCACCCCGATATGATATAGTATAGTTCAATATCTTGAAGTACGAAGTTATTTGTCAGATAGAAGCTACTTCTTATCGTTGTCTAGGTGTGTCGAAAATACGACTTAGCCAACAATCTCTGCAGTTGCCATCCCATGGAAGTCTATTGAGCGGCTTACCTCTGACTACTAAGTCATCAGTAGTCCAGGACACGTTCTATTTACGGATGAGTCACTTCTTTCGCGAGGGTGACAGTATCATTGCCGAAATAGGAACTAGAGGTCATGGGTATCGCGAGTTCATCCTCCCTACGAATGCTGTTTGTCTGAAACCATAAACATGGCTTTTGATAGGTTATATGTTGCCTGCAGCTCAGGGCGCTGTCATGGCCGAGGGAGACCACCGTACCAAAGGACATAAAATTCCCAGCCGAACTATCCTTTTTGAAGGTGATGGCAGCTTCCAGATGGCCGTTCAGGAAGTTAGCACCATCATGAGGCACAAACTAGACACCATGATATTCTTGATCAACAATGGGAGATACACGATTGAACGTATGATCCACGGAAAGGATGTGTCCTATAATGATGTAGCAAATTGGAAATACTTGTCAGCTAGGTATTACTTTGGTGCGGATAACAAAGCTTCGGACAAAGTTTGTAACCGGACCGTTTCCACAGGGGGTGAGCTTGAAGCAGCGCTTGTGCATCCAGACTTGAGAGATGGGACTGGGCTTTGAATGGTGGAGGTCAAGATGGCCAGGAATGATGCACCCAAGGTATTGAAAATACCCACCGGACGGGAGTAATGGGAAAAACTCGAACAGTGAGCAACGGCCTGACGCGATGATTTATGTTGTATTGGGAATGCCGGGAATGGTTCAAATAAAACAGATTTCTCCCGTCATATGTAATGTACGAAGGTCCATTGGAACAGCTCTTTGGCTATTTGCAAATAGCGATGATCTCACATCATAGCGTAGGCAAAGTTGTAGACTCATAACTATGCGGCTCTGATAGTATGGTTTTGAGATCAGCCGCTTGAGCCAGGGAGGCATTGATCTTTTGCTGAGCTTCTTGGCAGTCACTGTAGTGTGCATCGTTGGGTCGGACTACCGTTCGAATACAGGAAAAGAATGTGTTTAATTCTGAAATCACTGCTCCTTTGGCAGATGAATTCGATATGCTTGTGGCTTGGCTTACTTGCTCGGAATGAGGTTGGAGAAGTGAAGCCAACATCTCTGCGCTTGGGAGTCCGTATAAAATAAGCTAAATATGAGGAATGTTCATTAATAACTTGTCCTTTAGGTGCAGGTGATCCACATTGAGCGGGTCAAGCATAAAAGAAGACACCTGCTACTCACTCGCCACGTGTAATCGGAACGATATTCTTTTAGGTGACCCAAGGATTGCATTCCGCATATCATTGTCCAGAGAATCTTTCGACACAACCCCCCGAGAGTGTAGGCCTGTGCGGGTGGCAGATGCTGCATGATGTATGATCGCGTGTATAAGTATTCCAAATAGACTATTAATAAGATATAGCCTTGATGTGGGAACCTCTCCATTTGCCAATTCTCTGGCCGTATATCGCTAGAAACCTTTAACAATTGCCACACGTCTTCTAGCAATCTGGTCATATTCCTAAACTACATTAGTCCACACACGCATGCTGTGAAACAGCGGCGAGACATACTGAGGTGCAGAGAATTCCGGGCTGTCAGTCAATGTCGACCTCGCAACCTGGACGTCTTCGCGTACTATGCTCATGGCAAAACTGACCTTTTCTACAAGCGATACTGGGGAAGACAAGGCCTGACTCAACCTAGTCGAGATATAGAGGTTGATCCAGTCCGCGGCTGAGACGGACAAACTAATGTTGTCTAACTCCATGCAGTTTTGCCTTGGGATTCGTGGTGGTCGTTTCATTAGCGTTGTTATAGCTTTGTCCAGTGTATAAGCTGTCAGGAACAATTGTTGGCGGATATGCATCGCTGTGATGACCTGGTTTCTAAAGGATGGTTTATGCAGCCCAATGGTAAATAGTGCGTTTCCAATATCCCCTAACCTCCGCCAAACACGTCGATCTATCGGATTTTGCGCTATAGTATTAGCATCAAATGTTCTAATTATATTGATTTTGCTCACCCACTTTTGCCCCCGTAGATTCTAATAAGCAATACGATGTCTTGGATAAGAAGCCATAAATAAAGTTCGGTTTTGGTGCCGGTCATTTCCTGAAACCGTATACATGTGTTGACGGCGTGAGTCAGGTCTTTTAGGATCGTCACCCTTGCCCGTGAGTCTGGCTGTGATGCACCACCATTGGAATCGGATAAGTCATGCCCTATAGTTAGGGAGAGAGCGACAGTGGCATATATAATACCAATTACGTCCCACCGCAGGCAATCCTGATGACCTAGACCTTGCTGGATGTGGAAGTGGGAACTGGGGCCGTCGGCCAGCCATCTCGGAGAGACCGTGGAGTTATGAAATACGCTGTCCACAGTTTCAAACCCCCGAGTGCTCCCTTGTGCGAAGAATGTATCAGACTGCGACTCTGCCAAGTAGGAGAGGAAGGAATAGACGAGTTGTTTCATGAGGAAGCCGGGGGTATCCGGCGGGAGAGAGTCTAGGAGTTGTTGGAATGAGGCGGAGCTTTTGATGTAGAACAGAACCTGATAGGCAGCGGAGATTGTTTCCATTTCATCAGGCAATTGGCACGTAGTATGTGACATAGGGGCACCGCTCGCTCGGGAAGCATTGCCGACAGGATGGTGCCCTGGTTGCCGGGGCTCCATTAGAGGTTCCCTGTAAGTCACAGCGCCGATGCGAGGTTGACGACAATTAATGGGGAACATGGAGCATCCATCAATAATAAATCAATTGTCTGCATTTTAACCAAGTCCTTCAGCCCAGGTAAACATGCTTCTGAGACAGCAGTCACATTATGGCAGTGGCCCCTTGTCATGTCTCAATTGCCGATCTCTCTGGCATGGGCTCTAGGATGTCGCCGGCACCAGCCCCTTGGAAGCAAGGTGCGGCAAACTGTGGACATTCCTAAACCTTGCAGAAGCACGTACTTGAAAAGTTTCACTTAACCGTGGTACTACCAGCCATGGTTGTCCGTCGCAAAAAGGAATAACCTGTCTGTCTAGACCACTGGTCATATAATCCTACTACGTCTATGATGGTTCAGCCAGCCACAATGCAATCATGACTGTGTCTCATAAGTACGCGTTAGCTTGCTTACGAGGTATTACACCGTGTGTTAAACTATCGTTATCGTTGAGCTGGCTGGCTGAGGAACGAAAGCTCATATTTAAATTCTTGTAATGCGACCGTCGCATTCTGATTCGGACCGCAAGCCAAGCGAGTACCCACCCTCGAGCTGGAAAATGAATTCTGTTAAAATAGACACCTGGTATAACTTCCATTTCCTTGAGCTACCATGGCATTTCCTCGTTTTTTATTTTTTTTATTTTTATTATAATCTGTAGTTTGAAAAGTCAGGTCTTGGCAGGTATAGAAGAAGTTACTCTCAAAGCTGATGGAAGGAATTATTAATCTTTCACTATCCGCGGGCCGCAAGTTTACGCACCGCTGGGATCCGAAACCCTAATTGAACGTTGTCTGGAAACGGCCTGGTCTTTGGTTCAAGAAACATGACAACCGAAATCAAGGCCCACGAATGGACCATAGCTAGTGTTGATACTCACCCAATGACCGTTCCCAACAATCGGTGTCAACCTGTCATGCATTCAAGCACGCTGCTGCAAGTTGATACCCGTCATCGTGCATGTCAGTCTTCCGAATGCGGAAGCCTGATTGTACGAGAAAACATTATCCATTTACCAACCCGTTTAACACAACTACCTTCTTCGCTTCCCTTGTGATCTACAGTGCCTAAAACCCAAGCCTTTTTATTTGACCCCCGTGAAAGGAACAACTTCTACGGGGTCAACACAAAATGCTCCGTCGCAATGGTAAGAAAAGCTCCTGCGAGCCTTGTCGGAAGTCGAAGATCAAATGTGACCATGAGTTCCCCATATGTCAAAGATGTCACTATCGTGGCATGGCTACAATTTGTGTTTATCATCCAGCGCCAATGACTCGTCCAGATTCTCTGCAGCTTCGTCGTCCTCACGGCCTTCAAAGAATATCGCAGCTCATTCCGTCCCCTACACCTCGTAGGGACAGTATCACTGAAGATGTGTGCGTGTTTTTCATTCTTCCTCTTCCTTTGGGTTAGATGGCTGGCTTTGGACGTTTCATGGGGATGGAGGCTATAGCATAGCTATGTCACAGAGACCGACTGGCTGGTAAAGTTGTGCTGATAGAGAAAGGGGGCGACCTAGCCGACAATGGGTCGACTAGTGGGAAGGGGGTCTTAGCAATCATGCTGAGCCCGTATAGATCTTATAAGGGGTGGATACTGATTTCATTTCTTAGGCAAGTCTATCAAGGGGTCTTAGACACCCAGCCTATCGGCAGAAATGGGCCCAGTTCCCCGTTGTTCTCACCAACCATGCCTGATATATGTCACGCAGACATCCAACAAGGATCTACGCTCTTAAAACGTCTTAATGATATCTCAACCCTCGCGCAACTTGCAGAACGGTACATCCGAATGAAGAGCCATATGATTCCAATCCCAGGTTTTATAGCACAAACCACCATCGCGTCCTTAGAAGGGGATCCTTCAATCGAAAAAATGAGCACCAGAGATCAACTAGCAAATTCAATTTTGATCACCGGAAATACCTGTCGCGAACTGGAGCTGAAGGTATATGTCTCGCCCAATAATTTCTGCAAAACATTCACGGGCCCTGCATTACGCTGGGAAGCGTTGGGACTACTATTTACATGGGCCGCACTTGCTCTGTTACACTTACCATTGGATGATAGGCTTGCCAAAAAGTTCATAGCAGCTCAGGGAACTAATAAGGCGTCATGTGTTTCCACAATGGTGTACTGCAGTAATTTATGCATCTCACTGTGTAAAGAATATGCACCTCCAAATGAGGTTCTCCTATGGCTGCTGCACGAAAGTTTGACCCTCACAGCACAATTCTACGGCGATTGCAGTAAGCCCTCCTTGAATACACCCACCAACCTACCAACCCACCATAATCGCACTGAAGGCGTCATGACATTCCTACAACAAGCTTATCGTTCTAGGTCATCAGACATGGCAGCGCCTGGGCGACTTGGCCACTGAAGCTCTAGACCCAAGTAGAGTCAGGTCTGGCACAGAAAGCCCCGCGGTTTCATTTCTTCTTTCCCAATCGCGAAGGAAGATTCTAGCTTCTGCGTACTGGATAGACAAAAGTTTGGCGAGCTTACACGCTCAAGTCCCGCGAATTCCTTGCCTTCCGCAAGATTTTGAAACCCCACTCGATATCGATGACGATGAGCTCCTTTCGAAAAGCCTTTCTCACTCGGAATTACTACATTCGCATAGCAGTGGTTGGAATCAATCGGCGCATACCTGTCCAGCTACATATATTCGCGCTAGATATATCTTAGGCGGGCTTCGAGATGAGCTCCTTCAACTGTCCCTCACAGCGTCTGCTGTCAATAGACTCCTAAAGCTAAAGTAAGCTATTGACTCGTTCTATTCATCGTTCGCTATGTTTTACTTATGAATATCTAGACACCTATTTCGACGCTATAGGGCAGCCTGGCTGGAGATGCCGAAAAAGCTTCATTACAGAGACCCCGACCAGGTCCAGCCGATGCCCTACATGATCTCTTTCCCACAACTACTACTCTCCCTGGATTACCTTCAGGGTGAATATCTTATTTATAGAGAGCTCACTGGAATTGTTGAAAGCACGAGACCTCAGCTTCTCTGGCACTGCGGAAGGACTCTCAATATCGTCATCAGTCTATTTGCCTCCCCTAAGATGAGGACGGAGACTAGTCTGCTGGATCGTATCCGCGTTGTGAGTTTTCCGTCTGCCACCTGGACCAATGAATACAGCCTTTCAAGACTAAGACCTGCTTCATCTGTCAGGGAGTGTTATACGGTGTTCCATGTGCCGAGTACCTTATCTTCACCCTGAAGGTGTATGACGGAACCAATGAATTACAGGATCATTCACCATCTCCACTGGAGCTTATACGCAATATCAGTGCTTTCATCAGTTACCTGGGTCAAGAGTGCTATGCTGACGGTCAGCTTAGCCTTTCCTACATCAGCACATATAAGAATCTAGAGTGCGCCCTTAACGATCTTCTTGATTTGAAACAGATATACGCTCTTGGATGCGGCTCCGGTGCTAGTTCCTCGACCGTTTCCCCTGGCTCTGAGATATTGGGGAACTACAACAGCATTGAAGGTGAATTAATTGATTGGACGAATGAACTTGAGTGGATGAGACAATGGAGTGTGTAGGTATAAAGCAAGTTTCACTAGGGTGCAGATGCTAGGGGTGGGCACCTTCGCATACTCTGGTCTGGCTGAAGGGCTGGTCAAATACAATTTTAGTAAAAGGAAGCACAAGCCGGGCCTTTTCTTTGGTTTTGATTTATGAAACAGCTGTGGCTGTTTCAGTAAAGTAGTTTCAAAAAGGTTATGCGTTGTGTTTTGTACTTTTAACAAGAAGCATGCAAAATGGGTGATGTTCTGAACTCCCTGTAACTAGTTAATGACTATTTAATATCATTCATTCCCCTAGGGCATCTAGGAGAGGAAATACCTTTAGACCAAATGAACTCACCAATGTAGCATTGCAGCTACATTACAGAAGAAGAGTAGATAGTTACGCAAAATGTTTATTCCTTTTGGTCTAGCACACTTATTCACAACACGCTCACAACATGTTTTTGAATAGGCTATCCCATAAAACTGAAGAAACAAAGCAAGAGATGAAGACGCTTAGTGACAAATGCAGCCTTTCTTTTTCGGCTTACCCTCACTAGAAATATAGGAACATAAAAGAGAATAAGAGAGAGAAAAATGCGATATCGCCCCAAGAATAGCCGAGGAGTTACAGTTTGAGGCACAGTCTGGTTTATTCCGATATCAATGACGCAGTTGCTCACCTCGCACCCTTAGGTTACATTGAACTCCAAATGGGCCTCGGATTAGGGTTGTTGGAAGCGGAAGCCAAATACCTACTCGAATGTCACCTATACGGCATATATGAGTGGTCTTCGGCTCCGTTCTTGATTAACTCCTAGACTATCTCTGTTTAATATTGGTGGATTCCCTACTTCATACTGTGCCCGAGCCTGCCTATCAAATATAACCTCGAAAGCTACCCCGAGAGGGCAAAATGCCTGACAACCCAGTTCTGCACCTACGCCATAAGGACCCGCCCATTGGATGCCATGCACTCATCACTCCTAAGTCCGCCAAGGAATTGGTTGAAAATGGCTTTACCATAAATGTGGAGAGTAGTCTTGTCCGCTGCTTCGCAGATAGCGAGTACAAAGCCGTCGGCGCCACTATTGTTTCTAGGTACTCTTGGCCAAATGCACCCTTGGACTACATTATCGTCGGCATTAAAGAGGTCCAGATAGACACAATTTCCACTTCAACATCTTCACGTCTATGCAGGCCATATTTACAAAGAACAAACAGGCTCGTATGAGAAACTTCTACGATACGCCCAAGGCGGTGGTATTCTACTGGACATCGATTGGCTCAAGTATGCTGGCGGCCTGGATTCCGTGACGTACGAGTACCACTCCGGCCTTCTTGGGACAGCTCTCGCCATCAAAACCTGGGCCCATCAACTACTGTACAAGGATGTCTCCACGACCCCCCCCATGCCCGTGGGCAGCAACCTGGAGATGGTCGTGCAAGAAGCGCAAGAATACCTCCGCAGGGGCGTCGAATTCGCCGGCCGTCTCCCTCGCATTGCTGTCATCGATGCCTACGGTCGCTGCGGATCCAGTGCTGTGCATGCCTGCCATCAGTGGGGCATTCCTGATTCCCAAATCGTCCGGTGGACTCGGGCCGATACAGCTAGACCAGGACCCTACAAGGACATCCTGGAGAGTGACATTCTTCTCAATTGCATCTTCTGTAGCGGGTCAATCCCGCCACTCGTGGACTTCGAAGCACTGAGGCTGCCCCGGAAGCTATCCGTAATTTGTGATATTAGTTGCAATAGCCACTCCCCCTACAACCCCATCCCCATATATTCTACGGACTGTACGTTCGAAAAACCCGTGCTCTCCATCCCTGTCCAGTCCGGACCGCCGTTGAGTGTGATTGCTATCCCATATTTGCCCAGTGCCGTGCTGAAAGAAGCTTGCGAGAATGCGGCCACAGTGGCTCTGCCGTTGATCAAGCAGCTAGGATCGTGGGATGATTCCTCAGTGTGGAAACAACTTGAAGAACTATTTTATGAGAAGCTGCAGACAATTTCGGAAACGAAAGTAGCTTCACGAGCGATGCTGTAATAAGGTTATAAGGCAGGACGACGTTCGCCCTTTGTCTGGTTAGACCTCATAGTAGAGACCTGATGAAGCTTAGGTCTTAAAGGTATAGGATCAGAAAACAACGTCTCGTAGAAAGCGACACATAATACATACATACTACACACAGGGCGACCTCACGAACGGACATCGGGGCGGCGAGCCATTGTACCTAACTGACATTACGAGCTTTGAGAAGGCCATCGCCACCCCATTCTACCAAAATCTGCGTGTCGGAGCTGATAATTGACAATGTTCTTGCAACATGAAGGTAGTGGAAGGTGATATGGGGGTACTACCGGAGTTAGGCATTAAACCCCACTTTAAATACGAAACGTGCCTGTATAAACTTTACAGCTTTAGTGGTAAGTGCCGGCTTTAAGCTTAGGAATCAAGCTCGATCGATTGATATCCTAATTGGGTTATAGATTGCGCTATTTTAATTCATGGGGGCCAAAAAGTATCATTTAGTATTACCAACCCGCTTATGAGACATGGAGGTTGAATTACTAATATTGGTATAGTTAACTAGTTATCAATAATTGAACTTCTACTCTATAAAAGGGCTTTGTAGTACCCAAGAGGTAGTCATTCTGTCTGTAAATAACAAGCATTGACTATTAACTTCGTTTATTATCCCATTCATTATGTCTCTGAACCAGGCTGCCTGGTTCGATGCCGAAGGTCAGCCCTTTCGGGTTGGTCCTGCGCCAATGCCAACACCCGGCCCTAAGCAACTGGTCATCAAGAACCAAGCTGTGGCAATTGTAAGTCCATCATAGTATATCTAGTTGAATTTTCACAAAAGTATTAACAGTTTAACACAGAACCCAGCGGACTGGAAGATCCAGTAAGCAACCGACAAACACCCAAGCCTTTGACCAGCCCGCACGCTAACATTTCAGGGCTGGTGCACCTTTCATTAAGACCTGGCCGATTGTACTTGGAATTGATTTCGCAGGAACAGTTGAAGAAGTTGGCGAAGGAGTAACCCGTTTCAAGAAGGGTCAACGTGTCATTTCGTAAGATGGCTCCGAGGACTATAAGAGCGTTCACGATTACTGATGCGCGTGGATAGACATTCCCAGTCGTTAAGAGACCAAGACCCAGCAAAAGGCGCATTCCAACTCTACCCACTCGCCGAGGAAGTCTTCACATCTGTGATTCCGGATTCCATGAGCTTCGAGCAAGCCGTTGTGCTACCTGTGGCGCTCTCGACAGCGACAGCCGGCCTTTACCTTCCTAAATATCTCGGTCTTCCTTACCTACCGTCGTCAAACCCTAAGTCCACCGGAAAGACACTGCTCATCTGGGGCGGGGCATCCTCCGTTGGTGCAGTCACTATCCAATTCGCCGTTGCTTCGGGTCTGAGAGTAGTCACCACAGCCTCTCCAGCAAATCATGATTTTGTCAAAGCTATGGGCGCTAGTGCCGTGTTTGATTACAGATCTCCATCTGTAGTCGAGGATATTGTCAAGGAGCTTGAAGGCAGCGACCTCGCCGGAGTCTACGATGCCATCTCCGAAGAACCCAGCTTTGAGCCGATCACCGAAATTCTGAAGCGTGTAGGCCGCCAGGTCAAAGTTGCCGCTGTGCAGACTCGTGAGAAGCCATCAGAGGGGTTTGACCCCATCTTTGGTATGCCATATCCCATGATATCGCATAGTCGTATAGATCGCTAATGTTCCCAGTATTCTGTTATGAAATCGCCACAGCCCCAAATGAAGAGATGGGCGAAGCTATCTGGGGGAAATTTGTGCCCGAGGCATTGGCCAGTGGACAATTGCAGGCGAAGCCTGACCCTGTGGTTATAGGTCATGGGTTGAGTGAAATTGAGCATGGGCTGAAGGTGCAGAAAGCTGGAGTTTCTGCTAAGAAGATTGTTGTTACTCTCTAAGTTATTGGTGCTTTGGTTTGTTTAACGCAAATGAGTCTAGTATAATGTCGAGTTTTTCTCAGACCAGACGCAAACTTAATGATATCTTAAGATAGTGAGAAATATACCACTTCGCGACAGGTGTGCGGCGAGATGACAAACCTCGCCTGTACTTTTACATTCTTACATCTGGTTTGCTCGTGGAGTCACGATAGGCATAGTCTCATCAAACTCCAACCATACGTTTTTAGCCATATAGGAGACACACTAACCCTGGACTATGCAAGGTCAGAACCCTTACCGTACAGCGCAGGTTGGTAGTGTCCTAGGAGCAAGGCCTGCAGTGACAACACCTTGAGCAAATTGAAAGATTGCGGTAGGGGCTATATTTTGCTCTATTAGGTGCTCATTGGTACTACTGTAAGTTGTATTCGACATATAGAATCTAAAAAAGACGCGAGTAGAACACTTCATTGAAGCCCTTCTAAAGGGGCCTCGGCATATACAGTAGATCACTCCGTAATAAGTAGGCGGTAAAGAAAGCAAGAGACCCACCGGGAAAGCTTTTCTCCACCGCCGACAAGTTTTCGCTTTCCCTCCAACAGAACGAAGCTTTAGTTTTCCTTCATCATACAAATCATTTATTTACTTCTTTTCTTCGTGCCATTGTCCTGAAATGGCAAGCGCACTCCCAGCCCTGGCCATTCCAGGCCAACGTCTGGGCTCAGCGACCTCCTACTCAGCCGGTCCAGGCACACACGTACAACAATCAAATGTCTACGCCTCCATCGCCGGCCCAGTCGTCGTCGAACCGGCGCAATCAGGCTCCAAGGGCAAGGCTACTCTAAGCGTCTCTCGCTCGATTAGGGCCCCCGGAACAGGAAATGCCTCCAAACCCGTGACCACAGCGCCCGGCGCCAAGTCAGCGGCATCTTCCTCTGCCCCCAAGCCCAAGCTGAAATATAACACCCTCCCCGCAGTCGACTCAGTGGTGCTGGCGCGCGTGACGAGGGTCCAGAAACGACAGGCTACGGTGTCTATCCTTGTTGTGTTGAATGAATCCGGCAGCACCCAGGGTGTCAATCCCTCACAGACGACGTCCGATAACGACAACATTGAGGCGATTCTCTCCTCCGCCGCCAATCCCGAGAATCATAGCAGTTCCGACGAGCTCCGATTCCAGGCTCTTATCCGGAAGGAAGATGTGCGCGCTGTTGAGAAAGACCGCGTCGTGATGGACGAGATGTTCCGCGTTGGTGATATCGTCCGTGGAACCGTGATTTCCCTCGGTGACCAGAGTTTCTACTATCTGACGACTGCGCGCAACGATCTTGGCGTTGTTATGGCTCGTAGCGAAGCAGGAAATATGATGTTCCCCGTTAGCTGGAAGGAAATGAGGGATTCCGTCACCGGTCAGGCCGAGTTGAGGAAGGTGGCGAGACCGTTTTGATGGGGTTGATCTAATTGGGGGCAATTGTCGGTTGGCTTTACTGATGCTTCTTGCCCCCCTCACTTCCTTATCATCGCAAGGCTGAGAAAGGCTCTCATGTGGCGTCCCTTTCCCGGTACTTCGGAGAGTCGCGTGTCGGCGCAGAGGGCTGGAGAGATCCATTGGCCCCTCTCTCTTCCAGAAGAACTGTGCCGCTTCTGCTCGGAACTGTCTTAGACAGACTAAACGACTAGAGTTGAGATGCTCTGGACATTTCTCAAGGAGCAGACGCTCCATCATCTTGCATACTACTGCTGTACATATTAGAAGTATTGGTCTACCAGTGCTTTGTGCTTCACATTCAACGATGTGTAATGAGTTACGAACCAGCTAATTCAAGAGAATACAATAGCTCTTTGATCATCTAGACAGTCCTGAACGACTAGGCGCTCAAATCGCTGTTTGCATACACCTCCATAGTATCCAAGGTTCTGGCCTTCTCCATGCTGAACTATAACCATGTTTGTTACCGGAGGAAGATAAACAGTATAAATCTAGTGTAGGAAAATGCTTATCTCCACGACCCACGTTATGATTCTCCATTCCCTCATGTCGTGGAATGGAGCTGCTACAATCGAGGGTACAATATCTTCACGAACATTGTAATCACACCCAACGCAATAATGGAAACTATTGTAATGATCCAAATGACTTTTTTGTACTGTATGTACATATATACCAAGTGCAATATCCAATTGCACCATCTATCGTACGATAAATCCACCCTAGTATAAACAACGAACCTCGTTTTACTTCTTCAACGTCTTCTGCTTCTCCGCATCAATCAACTTCCTTCCCTGGACCACCAGTCCCTTTCGAGTTCTCACAGCATCCATATACCGCTTCGCCACGTTCTCCCGATCGGCTAACTCACCCAGATCTTCCAATTCTTCCTCAGTGGCCGGAACCCAAAAGGGGTCTTCGTCGAGGGCCTCAAACCCAGCGAAGATAAGCTGTGGTTGCGCTGCACCCGAGGTACGCTTACGAATTTCCTCGGCAAATCCGAAAGACTCGGCAACGGGGAGCAGAGCCAGGATCGTGAAGAAAGGGGTTCCCTCCTTCATGGTCTCTGAGAGGATGCGGCCGCGGCGCCGGGTTATTACACCGTAGACACGACCTAGGACTTCGGCTGTTCGGGGTCAGTATATGTTCTGTGTAACTTGGATGGCATAGAGGTGGGGGTGCGTACTTGATGCTTGAATTTCACAACTATACATGGCGAGCATGATTCGGGGGCTCCAGTCGAGGAATCCCTGGGAAATGCTTTCGCGGACTAGTCTGATTGCCTCTCCTGTCAGGCGACCGAGGTCAAGCTCTTCCTCGCTGGCGTTGACGGTTATCTCTTCTAGGAAGACGGCTGTTCCTTGCATGGGCTCTTGACAGAGAGGGCCCTGGCCGGTTGCCAGTTGGAAGGCGTACGTGATCTTGTCGCAGAAGTCACGTACAATTAGTGCTTCGCGGCTGCTGGTTTCTGTGTTGACGGTGGGTTGTTGCTTGGGATCTTCCAACAAACTGTTACTTGTCAGTCTATGCCATGTGTAAATGTTGTCGGGTTTCGTGAATAGACTTACAATTTCTCGCAAGTGTTGACTGCGGTAGCATCGACTAGGATGTTCGGTCCCACTCGTCTTGGGCCGAAGGCTGTGATTCTGTCTACGACGTCCTGCCATAATTCCTTGTCCTCTTTCACTTCTTCGTCGAAGATCTTATTCAGTTCATTCCTGAAGTCCTTGAGAGAGAGCACACTTCCCTCGCGGGCTTCGTCTGTTGCGTCACTGGTCTCCACTTGCTGAGTGTTCTCCGGCGTTCCGTTGGCTGGCTTGTCCTCTGTTGCTGCGTGCCGCTGAGATTGTAGTCGTTTGATCGTTCCAACTTGTTTAGTGAAGTATTCAGTCACGACTTCAGGCAGAGGCACAACGCGTAGCCGGATAGACAATTGCTTTGATGCTGAAACCGCCAGAACACCTCCCCGTCCTAAATCTGGGTTCTTAGGGGCCGCCATTTCCGGTGCATTGACGATGGTTTCGCGGTATGGTACGATTGTTTGGCCGGTCTGAATGTCGCATTTGGCGAATCGTTCGCGAAGGTCCTTCAAGCAACGCTCAAGATGCAGTTCACCAGCTGTTAGGATGACGTGCTCACCGTTGGGGAGCACATCGTACTGCGCGCAAGGGTCGCTTTGTTCGAGGAGCCGCAGACCGGTGACCATCTTGCCCAGATCGGAAGGGTTGGCTGGTTCTAGAGCAACCCTGACGATTGGAGGAGTATTGAGGGAAACACCAGCCAAGTTAATGCTTCCCTCGAGCTGTGAGCACAGGGTTCCGGTCTTCAACACATGGCCTGCAAGACCTCCAATGCCGAAAACAACACCGGCGGGGACAGACTTCAGTGGCTCGAGACTTCGTCCCATAAGGAGATACAGGTCTGTGACAGTCACCTTCTGTGGTACGGGAGTAGCGTTCGGGTTTTCCGGTGAGAATTTCGGCGCGAGGACGTAGATAGAGTCTCCAACTGAAAGGGTTCCTGAATATAGCCGTGCAAAACCAACCAGGTGTTCTGGATCTTCCTTCTCGTCCTCTTCCGGCGCTTCATTATTATCGCCAATGGTAACAGTTTCGAAGGCAGAAGTGATCCGTGCATAGCCGTCATCCTGTTGTTCACCATTGGCCTCCGCTTGCATTTTGGCTATTTCTTCTCTCTTTTTCCGAGCAATCTCTCGGGCCTCATCCGCCGACATAGTCCCGCCGGACCGTTTTTTGCTTGAAGACAGTTCACTTTCCGGAATGGCAACCATCTTGCTGACATACGCTACCACAGGCTCATCCGACCCCGTCTTGAACTTGATCATCGCGTCTTTCACTTTTGCATCCACAAAGTCCGCGCCAGGTGACTCCTCAATCAAGGCCGGTAACCGGGCTTCTTGGGCAGCTGGCGGACTAGGAAGGTATTCAATAACAGACACGAGGACTGCAGTGGAAAGAGGAAGCCACATCGAAAACAGTGTTGTCATTATATTCTTCGGGTCCCGAGATCGTAATATATATGCCGGAATCGAGATATTCAGGGACTTTGTAATTTTCTCCAATAAAGCAGGGTCACTGTTAATTGTCAGTCGATAATCCATACCCAAGTGTATGTCATACCATACCCTTTCCCTTTACCTCCACCCGTCGTAGCTTCGTATGCAGCCCAGATGCTGTCCAAAACTAACTGAACGAACATCGGTTTCAAAGCTCGTCCTTTAAGATGCTTCTGTGCCAGAACTCGTTTCGTCTTGGGGTCCAAGTAGTAGTCTCCCCAGAGCACTTTCTCAAGCACCGCACGCTTGATCCCGAGCTTCTTTTCGTAAATAGCGGCGAATTGGCGGACGGTGAAGGCCCATCCGTCCACAGCACTACAAAAGATGACGTTGTTCTTCTCAGGGGCAAAGTAAAGGTCCTCGTCATCTCGCTCTACATAATCCGCAGTATCCGCACCCGCCGGTGTAGATTGATCATCTTGCGTTTGCTTCTTGGTCCGATCTTTCTCGGCCGCCGCATTGGCACGTTCTTCCATGCGCTCTCGCCACTGGAGATCTTCCTCCATTCGCTCACCTTGGTAGAAGCTACCGATGACTGCATTAACCTGCTCTAACAATTTGCTCATATGAGAATAAGCCTCGCTTGGGCTCATCTTCAATTCAGTAACCAGTCTGTCGATCTTATTTATAACCAGGATGGGTTTCAGCTGCTCAACCCAGCTTTGACGCAGGACAGTGACTGTCTGACTGCAGACACCTTCTACAGCATCGACTAGAACAATGGCCCCATCACACAGACGAGAAGCTGTTGAGACCTCGCTGCTAAAGTCAATATGCCCTGGGGAGTCGATAAGATTGATTAAATACTCTTTGGCTACCGGAGCAGCGTCAGGAGCAGGACGACGCATCATCGAAAAGAACAACGAGATGGCCGACGACTCCATGGTAATACCTCGAAGCTGTTCATCCGGACGGGAGTCCAGATAGCGGATCTTGCCCGCCAGCTTGGGTGAGATGATGCCATTAGTGGCGATAAGGCTATCGGTTAGAGATGTTTTGCCATGGTCCTATAATCACTCAAATTTTCCAGAATTAATAGGGGTAACTTTGTGTCGGATTTAGCAGCCGTAGCAACTTACAACGTGAGCTAGGATACATATCTGCGATGGTGGTTAGCTATGGGTATCCCGATAACGAAGGAAATTGTGACATCAACGTGGGATGATGGAGGGGCTGCGTACATTCCGTATATCGTCGGGTTTCCGTTGAAGACGGACCAAATCCTCGACATTTACGATGGGCATTTTGGAAATAGGCTGGTGTCAGTGACCAACCTGAATCCGAAAAAACCAAGTTCCAGGATCTTCCAGTGGTTAGAATACGTCTGAGTTAGTTGGTGTCCCGCGTACTGCGGAAGAATTCAATTTTATGACCAAAAATGGAAAAAATATTGGCGGAAAAGCCAAAAGCTTTTCAACAACCAAAGAATCGCCGCAAAACAAAGCGGACTATGATTATTATGAAGTTATAATTGGATGAGCATGCCTGGAGGCGTTGCATCAAAAGTAGTTATTTTTCATTGATTATTAATTATTTTCGGGTTGTTATCAAATATGACGTTTATTCTACTGGTGCCTGAACTAAAGAGGGCTGGCCGCATAGGGTGAGTCAAATCGAGACACTATGACTGGGTAAATTGATAGTCATCATTCATCATTCCTCGTCAAACGAGAGTTTGATTTTCTTCTTCTTCTGTTTGGGTTTCCGAGAACCAGTGTCTTTCGGCTGCGTTTCTTCTTTCTCTGCTGAAGGCTCTTCTTCGCCAATAACCTTCGCCTGCTTTCGCTTCTTAGGTCCGCCTATCTCTGCCATGTTCTGTTTTGATATGGGCGCTTCTTGCGCGGTACTTGCCTTATCCTCTCCTCTATCTTGTGACGTGGGTTGTTCCTGGCCTGGTTCTCCTTTCCCTGTATCCTCGACTTCCTTATTACTGTCGCGAACGAGAGCTTCATATTCCTCTTTGGATATCACTTCATTGCTCTCTTCGTCAACATAGGTAGGTTCATCATCATCGTCGGCATCTTTTAATTTTCGGGGTCGAGCAATTGGGCGCTCAAGGCGACCGGAGGTATCGCCATATTGGTTCCGAAGTCGTTGTAAGAATGCTGGTTCTTTCGCCTCTGTTGGAGTATCAGTCCAAGCTCTGCGCAATGATGATAAGGAGCCAACGTACCATATGCGAGGTTCTTTGATTTGAAGGACATGTTTTAGTTGTCCCACAGCACACTGTTAGTTTTAAATTCTCCTAGACAAGATAACAAGGGAAATATCGCTACCGCGACATGTAATATTCAAGCAAAGAAAGAGAGTAGTGTTTCAACTCGTATGTCCTCCGGGTATCAATGGAATATTGAAGGCAGAGAGCTCGAATGGGACAAAGTCCGCCAATGTCAAGATTGTTCTAATAGCTTCAATCGCCTGCTTAGATGGGTAATGCCGCAAAGTTGTAATACGTAGGAAATAAATCCAATGGGTTAGGAGGACCAGAGTGGACTTGGAACTTGATCGTTTGCGCATAAATGGTTGCTTACCGCCAAGAGATCTGCGGCTAAACCCAAAAGATAGGCGGAGGGTCGAAAAGTCCAAAGGAGCCGCAGCTCTTGTGGTGAAGAGCAATCACCTCTCTCTCTCCCCACGTCCATCCATCTTCTAGAATTATCATGCTGTGTGCAAGTGAGTAGCAAGTGTCATACACCATAACACTTTTATGGAAAACTGACGGTCATTGATGACAGTCTCGGGAGAGGCACCACAAGTGCCCGTCGTCTCGCCCAAGAGCGGTATGTTGCAACCTCGAACAGCACCCGCACCCTATCTAATGTCCACTAGGCAGTGTGTTTGAGAAGCGCCTCATCGAGGCATATATCGCCGAAAATGGGAAAGATCCCGTGAACGGGGAGGAGCTCTCTACCGATGACCTTGTCGAGGTCAAGTCCGACCGCGTTGTTCGACCCCGTCCCCCTACACTCACCTCGATCCCTTCCCTACTCAATGTGTTCCAAGAGGAATGGGATGCCCTTGCCCTGGAGACATACACACTACGACAGACATTGGCGCAAACGCGCCAGGAACTGAGTACGGCTCTCTACCAGAACGATGCGGCGGTCCGCGTGATCGCGCGCTTGACCAAAGAGCGAGATGAAGCTCGTGATGCGCTTTCTAAGGTAACCGTCGGCGCTACACGCGCTGGTGGTGGTGAAGCAATGCAGGTTGATTCAAATGGACTGCCTGAGGCAGTTTTGTCACGTGTTGAGGGTACACAAGCAGCGTATGTACAAGTTTTGTGGTTTCTGAATCCCGACCTCGTAACTAAGTGCAAATAGGCTCTCTAAGACTCGCCGTAAGCGCGCTGTTCCGGAAGGCTGGGCGACCAGCGATGCTATCTCAACATACAAGCCCGCTCAAAGCACCGACCCCCTCTACCCTGGTGGGAAGGCACTGTCTGTTAACGCTTCCGGGGAGCTTGCCCTTGTTGGGGGCGCTGACGGCGTTGTTGGTGTCTACTCGCTATCTCAGAAGCAAGTCGTTCAAAGTTTGCAAGCAAATGGCCCGGTTACCGATGCTGTTTGGGCAGGTGATAAGGCCGTCGTTGCTTCGTCTACCGGCTCTGTGAAGGTTTTCGAGAACGGCAATGAAGTTGCTGACTTCAGCTCTCATGCTGGCGCAGCCACTGCGCTCGCCCTGCACCCTACTGGCGACATTGTTGCTTCCGTTGGCGCTGACAAGAGTTACGTGCTTTACGACTTGGCGACCAACTCCGTGATTACCCAGATCTTCAGCGACGCATGTGAGTATATCACCGCCAATGTAATTTTCAGCCACCAGCTAATCTCAAATTTCCTTCTTAGCTCTTCTTTCCGTAAAGTTCCATCCCGATGGCCATCTTATTGCCGCCGGTGGCGTGGATGGACAGGTCAAGATTTTCGATGTTAAGAATGGCTCGCCTGCCGCTAATTTCGCTATGTCTGGACCCGTCAAGTGCTTGTTCTTCTCTGAAAACGGTACATTCATGGCCGCGGTCGCCGAAAGTTCTACAGTTGTTTCTATTTGGGACCTCCGCAGTGCATCAGAAGTCAAAGCTCTGGAAACTGGCAGCCAGATTGATTCTATCAGCTGGGATTATACCGGGCAATTCCTACTCACTGGCGGACCTAGCGGGTTGACCGTCCAGCAGTACACCAAGTCAACTAAGTCATGGTCGGAACCACTGCGAAGCGCTGTGCCTGCAGCTGCCGTGTCGTGGGGTGTTGCAGCTCAAAGTATTGTGGCTTTGAACCGTGACGGTGGAATCACAGTGTTGGGGGCACAGTAATAATGATACCTTTCAGAGAAAAGCAAAGCATTGAGTTTGTACTTTTAGTTCTTGAAATTATGGATGCTGTTTTTCACTTGAACTGCACAGTTAGGAGAGAAGAAGAACTGAAAGAATAAAAGACAATAGATTACTGTCTTGGATGTACTGCTGTTACCAGGAGTTGAAAGTAACACATACACATACCAGAAACATGTTGCCGGCAGCCGTCACATTAATAATATAAATGTTGTTTCAGCCAGTGATCGGGACCTAATTTAGGAGTAGATCTGGTGACATGGGGGGGTTCAACTTCCTCTTTCTCTTTTCCCGTATTTTTGTCGTGCACTTTTACTTATCTTATCGGGAGTCTCAAATACCGGTGGCCAACTGTTGATGAGGGCGGCATATATCATGTCATCTCTCCACCGCAAGGACTCGGCTCCGGACTTATTACTTTGGACGATTAGGAACCTCTCCACCAGCTGTATCGCTCCTTCGATTTCGACTCCCACACCTCTCTCTCACCCTCTTCCTCTTCATTCTTCCCGGCCACTCAGTTCTCCCCGCTGCTGGACTTCGGCCCAAGGAATTTGACATGAACGACGACTCAGGTGTGCATTTTGTGGCTGCACGGCCAAGAAAGGTTCGCCTCATACCTTTCCGTTGCCGTCAAGGGGCGGGGCATTCATTGTGCCAATACTAGAAAGACAAGCGCTTGCTGACAATTATCATGAAACTCCAGCGCAATCATCGACAAATGTCCCGAACATCTCATTCACCCAGTCGCCGTTTCTTTTCACAAAATGGGGAGTCGTCGTCCTCCAGAGCTCCGACCAACCGGTTGCCACCCATGAGGTTCGCTGGGGACGGTCTCGACATGAGGAGACCTGTCGTCTCAGCTTCCCCTCAGACAGACGAAGTGATCGATTTGACCAATGAACCGGATTCGCCTCCACAAGAGCGAGATAGGAATGCCCGGGCGACATCGCGGCGACCTAGACAGCCCCGCTTTGGAAGGGACATCATGGCAGATGTCGTGGATCTAGAAGATGAACCGGATAATACAATTGACCTCGACTCTCCCAGCAGTCCAGAAGTTCAATTCGTGGGTGCCAGCGTTCGCCCCCAGCTGCCTCGACCATCGCCACCACAGCCCAGAGGCTTTGATTTCGGCTCCGGGCTTGTACGGTTCCTACGGTTAGATAATCCCAGGGTCCAACATTTTCCTGGTAGAGGGTTATTTTCTAGGGATTCTGGATGGAGAACCAGGGGGCCTCGTCACGCGCCACAAGATGTGGAGACATTTTGGATCGGAGATAGATCAGGCGGAGCAGTTGATCTGACGATCAACTTAGATATGGACGGTCCCCTGGCAATGGATTATCAAATTCAAGGGTTTTCACCGGATCGAGGGTCACGACCAACGTACAAGCCACCTAGCCCGCCGCCGGAAGGGTTCACAAGGAACCTGGGAGAAGACGAGGTTGTCTGTTGTCCGAATTGTGATGCAGAACTCGGTACGGGTGATGAGATTCAACAACAGATTTGGGTGGTAAAGCAATGCGGACATGTTCGTATGCCCATAATGCGCCTTCTTCTGACCGGCTCTAACATCTATCCCAGGTTTATTGCGGGCAGTGTGCCACCTATAGGTCCAAATCGAACGCTAAGAAGGCATCGCAGCCTGTGAAGCCATTTTCTAAGTGTCAAGTAGCGGATTGTGGGAAGGCTGTCAGTGCACCAAAATCGATGTTCCAGATCTATTTATGATACATATATTCTATCCCCCCCTTGTTTTATACAAGGCTTGCATGATTCCGGTGTTAGGTGGGCGGTTACTTGGTTTGGTTTACTACTTCTTCGATACCCTTATTGCATTGACGGTTGATGGATTGCGGGTAGATCCATCGTTCGGTTACTAGCTACTGAACCATAGAATACGTTTTTGGTTACTTCGGAGCTACCTCAATAGGTTCCGATTCCTATTAACCTGATAATATTTTAAGATCAATGCATTTTGTACATACATATGCTACATACTCTTCCAGCATAAAAAGCATTGGTTTCCCAGAACAAAACAAATAGAGGCCCATAATACATTGTATGAATATGACAAGCTGGAAGCGTCGCAATCCAGAAAATAACACCGTCGCAGTAAACCCAAAAACACCGCTTTAGACAGTCTTGACATCTCCGTGATACGGGGACCAGATGCCTCTGACACTCTCGTTGATACTTGTGACGGGCTTCTTGGTACGCTTCAATTTCTCTCCGCTGGCCTCCTTCAGCAAATTCGCCTTCTGGAAGATCTGTTCGGGCTCGAGGTTGCGGACACAGACCGCTTTTTCACGTCCGTTGATGTAGTGGCCCTTGATCACAGGGTGCTTGTGTGGCCGTGGCGATACGCGGATTTCAATCTGAGGGTTGGCTTTGGCGAAGGAGGGAAGAGTGTTTTTCAGGAAAGCTCTGGAGTAACACCACCGTTAGCATCAATGACCAAGTTTGACCTCGTAGGAAAAGTACATACACCATCCCGCGGGAACTTCCAGCCCAGTCGCAGTAGTGAAAGTCCAAACGCTTGCATTGCAAAATAAAGGCACCCACGCCATTCTGCGAACCATTAGCTATTGTGAGCACCACAGAGCCAGATTTGGAGGAGCTGGACATACTCTGGCTGAGGTAACTGCTCTAATTCCTTGTACAGGCATTTTCCGTAATTCTTTATTTGATTGATACAATCACTCGAATATCGGTCCACGGAGAGATAGTTCACTTTTCAGCACCTCCGGGCATGGCTGTCATTGGTCCGCGGCTATGTCGGTTAGCGCGCCTAGCGGCTTCCAGAACTGCAATTGAGCTGCCAAGTCACGGCGGAACGCGAACTTGACAAACGAGACCTGCGGTAGTGTCTCAGAATAATTCCAACGCTCATCGTTGCTTATGCCCATTGCGCATGGGAATCGAACCCTCATTTTGTCCTACTGTACTATACTACTAACTGACTGAGGGCTCAAAGATGACGGACAAGCTCCCCCCTCCGCTCCTCGCCCTCTTTCAGCCTCGTCCACCCTTACGCTATGTTACTCCCATTGACCGTGCACCGGAGGACTGTAAGAAGAGTACACTCGGCGGTATCGCACAGTATCTCCCGGACTTGAAGGAGTACGAAGAGGAGTACCCGTACAATGCTACAGAGAGTTGGATCCAGCGAAAATTGCGACAAAAGCAGGAGAAGAAGGAAAACATCGACAAACACTTGACAGACGGCATTCATACATGTGTGTTATCTCCCTTAACTCTGTAGTTGCATCTGAGCGCATAAGTACTGACTCATTTAGTCGACCCTTCGAACGACCCGCAAGCTCGAGGCGACCCTTTCAAAACACTTTTTGTGTCTCGTCTTAGTTACGATGTCAAGGAGTCCGATCTTGAAAGAGAGTTCGGCCGGTTTGGGCCTATTGAGAGGGTAATACTATTACAACCCTTCTTTTCGCTTTTCTTTCCTTAGTTTCTCGTATACTGATGTCATTGATTCTATCTAGATCCGTATCGTCAAAGACACTGTAACCCCGAAGGGTTCGAAGAAGCCGCACAAGGGATACGCTTTTATCGTTTACGAGCGCGAGAAGGACATGAAAGGTATTACTACAAATGACCAACACCTTTACTGGCCACAGGTATCTGCGTCTTGAGATCGTTTTGCTGACATGATATACTTCTGATGGTTCCAGCCGCTTACAAGGAGACGGATGGCATTCGTATCAAAGACCGACGTGTCTTGGTTGATGTAGAACGTGGTCGCACTGTCAAGGGCTGGAAGCCTCGGCGCTTCGGCGGCGGTCTTGGAGGCCGTGGTTACACCAAAGCACTGCCGTCGCGTCCTATTGGCCCTGGATCATTCGGTGCTCCCTCTGGACCTGGAGGTTACGGCGGTGGCTTCCGGGGTGGCTTCGGTGGTGGTGGTGGTGGTAGAGGAAGGGGGGGTTTCCGTAATGAACGTTTCGGGGGTCCTCGTGGGGGTGTTGGATACCAAGGAGGCCGCAATGGATTCGGCGGCGGAGGCGGACAAGCTCCGCCAAACGCACCGTCTGGCCCCGGTGGTGGAAGAAGCGGTGGTTTTGGTGGCAGGTATGGTGATCGTGATCGGGGCGCAACCGGAAGCAACCGTGAACCCATTAGGCCAAGAGATGGCTTCTCCGACCGCGATCGACGGGATGACCGGGACCGCGATGGTGGTGACCGTCATAGGGACCGCGACAGAGACAGCTACCGTTACCGGGACCGCGACCGTGAGCGCGATCGTGGTGACCGATACGGCGGCCGGGAGGACTACGGACGCAAGCGATATCATGAGGATGATGCATACGATGACCCTCGCGCCAAGAGAAGATACTGAATACCTAGCCCCTGAAGGGTTTCCCCCATTTAGTACTCAACATGATTTGTTGGTGGGTATTTCTGATCGATCTTCCAGTTTCTCTCATCGTCTGTTTTGGCAATGGGTAAGACAAGGTCCACGCCGATCATTCAGGTCTCCTGCCGTCAGGCTTGACCATTACTTACAACAGTCGAAACATTACGCATCCTCATCTTATGCCTGAATCGAGGCATTCTATATACACCGCTGGGGTCTCATCATGATTTGATCCTTGGAATGGCCGTTTCCTTCCCGGAGAGTCGACGTTTACTAGAACCGGACACTTGGTCGCGACCCCTTTTTTTACTGTTTTCCTTATCGAGTTATTCTTCTGCTTGCTTGCATGTCCTTCTACCCTGTCAGTTTCCTCTTCTCCAGGGTTTGCACTGCTCTTTACGGGGTAAGTATGTACTTTAGGTAGTCAACGTCTTTAGGTGGATTTCATGGAGGTGTTACGGGGGTCAGGTAAGAAGATCAGGTAAGGTTTTCTGCAACAACCAATAACCGATGCCAGGTATCTTCGTACAGTGTAAATCAAGGTAATGGTCGGAATCGTTCTTTATTTTATCCTCATGTAACATGCCGAGATATAGTCACTGTCGGTGTATTTTATGGTAGGATTTTAGCTTGGTATTTATGTATGTCCATCATACGCTCATCCAGCAATGAAGAACCCGTCATAAACGGGTACCACTCATAACAAGAGAAAGAAAAAAGAAAGAAGCAGAAAAGCAAGCGCCAATACCTAACTCCAAGAAATGCCCAGGGGATTTCGTCGAAGAAGAGAAGACATAAAAAAGAATCAGAAAAAAGACTTTTTTTTCTATAACCCCAAATTCCACCCCAACTTCACTGCTCAACCTCCATACCACCCTGCTCCTTCTCAAGAATCTTCACCTCTCCACTTTCCCGAGTCCAGCAAGCCTTCAGCGCAACATGGAACTCAGAAGTAGCAACGCCGAACATCTTGAGCAGCGTCGTCTGCCGCGAATCGAGAACCTCTCCCTCCCGGCAAACGGGGAATGCCTCCTGGTCACCGGTCAACTCCAGCATAACCTTGCCCTTGATGAGACGAGTGGGGATGCCCAGCTTACGCAGCTCGGGCTCGATCGTGTGGCTGACTGGCTCGTCCTCCGAGGCGGGGATCTCGCCGGCTCGCGAGTACACAAGGCCATTGGGGATGCTGAAGGACCGGGTGCTGACGGTTCCGGCACGGGCGAAGTCCAAGGGGCGGAAGGAGTCAAAGTAGTTGGTGACGGACTCGGGGTCGCGAGAGGTGAAGAGGAGACCGACGGCACCGGTCAGATAGGGAACGAGCTTGTGCAGGTTGGTGGCTGCTTCGGATTCGGGGTTGTGGCCCAGTGCGACGGCCATGACTTTGGTCTTGCCGAAGAAGAGACTGCGAAGATGTTAGCCATCTATCCTAGGGTATTCATGCATTGAAATATATTCCAATTTTCCATGGCCACGGGACAAAAAAGTTCAATATCAAAATATGAACAATCCCCCGCAAAGGTTAACAAAACTCACCGGCTATCAGCGAATTCAGTGCGCACATCCTTCAGGTAGGTATTGCGCATGTTATCAACTCCGAAGACGAAAAGATGGTCATATTTCTCGACAGATTCCCGGATATTGGCATACAAGCGTCTGGTCTGTTCCTTGTGGGACTTTTTGGCGGTCTTGGTCTCGTGGACAACGCGGGCGCGCTTAGAGCGAGGCATTGTGGCGGAGTTGTGGGTGAAAAATTCGAAAACTCGGTTTTGAAATTATCGACACCCCGACGTTCTTGGACCCGGTTGATGGGGAAAATGGGGTTTATATACAAGCGCGGAAATGGGTCGACTTGGAGGAGTTCGAAAATCAATTATTTTTTTCTTCACTGATAACAGTCGGAATATTGTTGATGCGGGGCTTATCCGATTAGATCTAAACTACATGGGGAAATAAGCTGTGAATGCCTCCGTCAACTGACATACCGCGAAGTCTTGATTAGACCGTTGGCATTATTCTCGCCTTGGTCCATGATGATCTAGTTGGGGGGAGGCTCTGATTTTGATTCTCTCTTGACCGTACTATACCAACTATTGTCATTGGCCGACAATGCTCGACTTCATGGATTATATCCAACTCGCGTTCGCCGAGGGGACTAACTGGAATCGCGACAATTCATACTCGTCGCTGACGGCCACAGCCCAGTGTCAGTAGCCGATGTCTTCTCTCTTATCTTTCTGAAAGATCCCCTTAACTAACAGACACACAGCCCTCTTGGATTTCTCAACTCCCGAGCGTCTACGCGTGCATCTTTCATCTCTATCGACCCCCAATTTCGCAACCAGCTACACCCTCGGCACAGTAGGCCTAATCGACGGCTCAGTGTCCTACCTCTACAGCACCGTCCCCTTCACCAACACACCAAGCCGAAGCGCCTTAATCCCCCTCCGCAAACTCTCCCCAGGCTACCGTCAAGTAACGCCACCAATCGCCCCAATCGAAGACTGGAATTGGAACTCAATCCTCGATAATTCCCAAAATGTCCAACCGTCATTCGCCAGCAAGCCCACCCTCCTGCACGCAACATTACACCTCCCACCCCCAACAACCCTGAACGCCCTCTTACTCCGTCGTATCTCCCCAACCATGCATCTAACACTGGCGGTCTGCTCGACAAGAGGCCCTCCGCTCTCCAAATCCGCGCCGCAGGCATCCCTCCTCACGCAATTGTCCCACGACACGGGAAAATACAGCAACGAGTACCTCTTCAGCACAGACAATGCGCTATTCGGCTGGCGGGGTCTATGGAACTTCGGACCCGACCCTCGCTCCGCGACAGATACCGCCGCGCCGCGCCTATCGCTTCTATCAGCCGGCGCGGAGGCATATTACTCGCCTGTGTCATCGCTCATTGGCATGTCCACTGGTCTGAGGTTTAGTACTCTCCCCGCTGCGACGGATGTGCCTGCGTCGACGGCGACGGGGTCTGCGACGGCGAATCAGAGTACCCCTATCTCTACGTTTCCGTATACGCTTACTTTAACGCTGACACCGTTGACGGGTTCCTTGTCAACGACGTATTCGCTCCGTGCATCACCCAATCTGGCGTTTAGTTCCCGCTTCGGGTTCAATGTTTATAGCTGGGAGAGTGAGATGGTAGCTGGCTGTGAACTGTGGCGGAAATCGAGGAAACAAGATGATGGGTTAGAATGGGCGAGACGGAAGATGCGCGCTTCTGAGCCTTTGTCTCTGCCTTCTTTGCCTGCTGAGCCGAAGGAACGGCAAGAAGAGGAGGCGACCGACTCTGTTCTGAAGATTCGGGTCGATCAGTCGTGGAATGTACGGGTTCTTTGGGAGGGGCGCGTCAAGGAGCTTCTGGTGAGTGCTGGGGTGGGATTGGGACCGAGTTCGTTCTCATCTTCGTCGTGGGCGACTGCTGCGGCTGGGTCGGGGCAGAGTAGTGGTGGGGGTGTGCCGTCGTATTGGAGGGGCGTGGGTGTTTCGGTGCTGTATTCTTCTTAATTTTCTTTTTAATGTTTGATTTTCTTAGATAATGGGTGTTGGGTCCCTTGTATAGGCGACACGGTTTTTTTGCATGGATGTATATATTTAGTGTTAGAGCGGGATAGATGAACCGTGTGATAATATGTTCTTGAAATATGAAAACCTCTATATTCATTTTGATATTTGGATCATAGAACTAATTTTGAAACGTCATAAATTTATCGATAAAGGAACCAGAAAATGATTATAGCCTATATTAACACCGTCGATTTGCTTACAAACGAGCATTGATGATATCAACGACTGCAATTGAACGTTAGCACCTTACCAATACACAGGAAGGGGAAAGAAAAGAACGTACAAGCAGGCTTCAAGCTGGCACCGCCAACCAGGAAGCCATCAACATCGGGCTCCTTGGCCAGCTCGCGGCAGTTCTTCTCACTGACGGAGCCACCGTAGATGATACGGGTGTTCTCAGAGGCCTCGGGCGAGATGGCCTCGGCGAGCCACTTGCGGATGGCGGCGTGGACCTCCTGAGCCTGCTGGGTGGTAGCGACCTTGCCGGTACCGATGGCCCTGTTGCACCTGTTAGTACCACAGTCTAGGGTGACATGATGTCAAGGAAGAAGGTGCTTACCAGACGGGCTCGTAGGCAATGACGACCTTGGTCCACTGCTCCTTGGTGAGCTCCTTAGCGGCAGCGTTGAGCTGCTTGGTTACGACCTCAATGGTCTTGTTGGCCTCACGCTCCTACACAAGACATTAATCAAACCAGATCATGCAATCTTCTCCGATGGGGAAAGGTCGAGAGCGGAAAGTGGACATGTGAGCCATACCTCAAGAGTCTCACCGATGCAGAAAATGACGCTAATGCCACCGTCAATGGAAGCCTTAACCTTACGAGCAATGAACTAAAACCAATTAGTGACTCAATTGCTAACGGATGTGCTGCAAGATAGAGAAATAAACATACTTCGTCGGTCTCCTTCAGAATGACACGGCGCTCGCTGTGTCCAATGATGGCCCAGGGGATCTTGGCATCCTGCAGCTGGGAAACCGAGATCTCACCGGTGAAAGCACCGTTGGGCTTGTCGAAGACGTTCTGGGAGGAAACAGCAACCTTCTTTCCGTCGGCGACCTGTTGGGCGAGGGTCAAGTAGAGAGCAGGAGGAGAGACGACGACCTCGGTGGTCTCGTCGAGCTTGGCCTCATTGAGGTTCTTGATGATGGAGGTAATGCTTTCCGCAGTACCGTTCCTGTATTGCAAGAGAGACAGAGGGTGTTCGTTAGCTTTCTGGTGGTTGTTGGTGTGGCATCAGGTCAGAGGGGTAAAGGCATTGCGGGGCAGCAGTGGTAGTGGTAGTGAGGGTAATGTCGTACATCTTGAAGTTACCACCGACGAAGAATTGGCGAGGCATTTTGAATGTGTGTTTCTGTGAAAGGAAGATACGACGAGTTTGGTTGAGGAAAGACAGTGTGATTGTCAAGTTGAGTATGGGAAGAAAGAGTAGAAGAAGATCAGACGACGGGGAAAAGCGATGACATAAAAGGTAGAAGACGGAAGAAAAACGAACCAAATCAATGCCACTCCATGGCGGGGTTTCGACTGCCTGAGGCCGGGATTGGTGGGGCTTATCGATAAGTTCTCGTCACCGGGTGCATGCAATGCGCTGTCAACTCGCTGACTTGGTCCTGAACATCCTGTCCTCTACGGATCCATACTATGCAATAATCCCAGTTATAATGCGGTAAGGTGCAGATCATATCTCATATTCATGACTCATTCGAACTTCTTTTGAGAAAATACACACATGGAACGTATACACTAAACGCAATACATCTCGACAAACGCTGGTATACAAAACGGTCCCCCGGTGAATGACGTTATTAGTGTCTATCCCCCACTCACACCCGAAAAGAATAACAGAAACTAACAGAAAAAAAGCGGCCCGAGGATAACAGGAACAGTGAAACAAAAGGGGAATCATGCAACGAAAAACAATGAAAGGAAAAGAAAACGCAAATCAATAATTTTCATAATACTGTCGAGAGTAATATGGACCAGCGTCTCTCAGGGACATGCGTCGGCGCAAGGCATCGTCCAACCTCTCATCAAATACATCCAGCATCCGCGTCCGATAGTCTAACTGCTTCTCTCGGCGCTCGAGTCGTGCTTCCCGATCATCGAGAATTCGGGTCCGGATATCGTTGCGAGCTCGTGACCCACGATATCTTTCGTCGAGCTCGGGTGCATCCAAATCCTCGGAACTAACAGGGGCGTGGATAATCTTCGGGCGATCTCGGGTCTGCCGAGCAACTTCTCGGCTATGGACCCTCCATAGTTGCTTGTCGGAATCCCTGCTGTCGGCAGGTATCACATCGACATAATCACTTGGGTACTTGGTGCGACCCTGTCTGTTGTCAGATGCACCTGATGGTTGTTTCCGGTAGTGGGAGCGGTATCGAGATGGCCCAGGGCGCCTTGAAGTAGAGGAATGCCGGCGAAAGAGACTTCCACGCCAGGGCTGTGTTTCTTTGCGTGTCTCTCCCTCATGCTCAGAGTCATCGGTCACTGAGCTAACTTCTTCAAAGTCGAAGATCTCGGAATCCTCATCCCCGATACTGCTGGAATCGGGGGCCAATTCTAACTCTGAGTCCGCCATGTTGGGTGGTTTGACACTACCTCCTTGGGCGACATTCTCAAAGGAACGAGATTCATAGGGATGGGAGGGCTCTTTCCGGGGGTTGTTATTGGTTACCGGCCCCCCAGCTGGGCTGTACAGGTTATTGATACCTAGGTGTTGCGCATTAGCGCTTGGAGCGCCTCTGACATGCTCCTTTAGAACCTCAATCGCTGGGCCATTCTCCGGAGCCGCCCTCGCGGTGTGGGGCATGGTTACCTGTGGACGCTGGTGCGCACCCGCAGGGACCCCTCTAACATGCTCCTTCAGGACCTCAACAGTGGGGCCTTTCTCCGGAGCAGCTCTCGCGACGTGAGGCATGTGTGGTTGTGCGCCAGCGTTCGCCGCGCCTCTGGCATGTTCTTTTAGGGCATCAATTGCGGGACCCTTCTCTGGAGCGGCCCGCGCGACGTGGGGCATGGCTGCCTGTGGGTGTATCCCGAAAGAGAAATGAGCCGGAACTCCTTGTGGCAGATGTCCATGGTTAACCAATGGTCTTCCCCCTGCCTGCTGTGCCTGAGGCTGAGGAGGGGGTGGCGGCGGTGGCGGAGCTTGCTGAGTGAGCTCGGGGTTAAGCTGCCGTGGGACATTGTGCACCTGCACCATTTGGGGTTGTTGTGCATGACCCATATTAGGCCTTGTCCACTGAGGGACATTTTCAATTTCCACGTCCAATGACCGAGGCTCATCGATGACCACGGGATTTTCGGCCTTCGGCTCAACCCTCTCCTTAGGTTTGCTAGGTAACTCGAACTCCACTTGTGCTACCTTGGGACGCGAAGAGGTAATAGGCTTCCCCATGATCACAACGTCCATGGAAACGGTCTCATAGTCTCCGCGCTTATTGTTCTTACCTTTCATCTGTCGTTCTTCTTCCTTGACATATGCACAAGTCCACTCTAGGTGAGAATCCTCCTTCTTGAGCTCGTTGATGAGTTGGTCCACATGGGTGCGTTTTGCCTTTGAAAGGGACTGGTACTGTTGGACGCCGGGGTGCTTCTTCGCCCGCTTCTGGACCATGCCGATCAACTCCGCTTGTGTCAGATGCATTTGGCTCCTTTCCACCTGGCTCCAGGTGGGCTTGTGGCCAGGGGTCGCATCTTTCTTGAAGAAGGTAAACCCAATATAAAAGTAGGGGCGCGAGTCTGTTACTTTTGCCGGGGTAGGGTCGGACGCTTTCTGCCGATTGCCTGAGGCTGCTCTCTCTGTAGTAGCATGCTGGCGGGCCATTGCTTCGGCGACCTTGGCGGGATCTATAGAGCGCGGGGTGGTAGTATGGATCGCACGAGAGGCCCCGGGGTATCCTTCTTGTTGGCCTCCTTGGTGTCCCAGTTTGTGACCTCCAGGATGGACTCCAGGGTGACCTCCGGGATGACCTCCAGGGTGGATAACTGGATGGCCTGCTGGATGAGATGCCTGGTGAGCTGTCGCGTGGGATACTGGGTGAGGTGTGGGATAGGAAGCTTGGCGCGCTGCCGAGTGAGCGAATGGATAGGCCCCTGGATAAGCCGATGGGTGGTAGAGTCCTGCTGGAAGCCCTTGGTAAACAGTTGGATAGAGAGCTGGATTGACCGGCTGTTGAACCGGTGCATGATGGGCGGGAGGCGCCGGCGGCGTGGTTTTCTGGTTAATGACCGCCATTTCCCGGAGGACTCCGCCTGTAGCAGGGGTAGATATTCAATGAGTAAGACCAGACGTAGTAAGCCGTACGTAGACAAACAATCGCAAGACAAATCGGACAGGGGGGTATATGGCAAAAAGACTACTATACAGGAAAGAAACAAAGGGAAAGAAAGTCTTCGAACAAAAGTCGAGGGTCAAAGCATATTATAATATATTTCTTCTCCTATCTGACCTACTCAAGAGGGGTAAGTCGGCTTTTTCAAGTCCAGATATTCGGCAGGTCTAGGACAAACAAAATAATAATAATAATATGGCTGTGTTTCAGACCGTGGAAGATCCTTGTAATGTACTGTACTTCTGCCTGGTCATCTTTAGCTTTTGATGACTGCACGTCTGACGGTAGGAAAATCCCCGACCTCACAGGGTGATTTCAACCAGAATAAGGCTAGTATTTCTCTTCACCATCATTGGCGGATTCACCCTCCATTACACACAAAGTCCAGATCTCAGAAGAGCACCGAGCACCAGTGCCTTTGTTTTTCCTCTTCACTTCTTCTCCAGATAGCGCCCAGCAACACGAGGTGAACAAGGCGCAGAAGCACCCGGGCACTGTCAATAGTGAGGCTACTGTCACGCACTCACCTTTTCTCTCGGTGAAAGAACTCGAAAGAATGGTATTGTATTGGAGGGAATCCTCAGCCGCAGGAAGAGTGGCTATGCGAGACGTCCAAGGCGATTGGAATCAAGAAGATAAAAATACGGTGACAATAATAGGCTACAGCCATCTGCCTGGAAGCAGCTCGGAAGTTGGGTAGAAAGTTAGGGTATTCAGCCGGTCAGCTGTGTTACTTCCACTGCACCAGACAGTCTTCAAGTCCTCAGAAATTATACCATAACGTAACCCGACGACTGTTGGTAAAATCAAAATGAGTCTTTTTTTTTTGTATCTTCTCACACTAGACTGACTCAGGCCCTCCATTGGGTTTTCTTCTGTGACGAGCGACGCAGACGATATGCAGCCAAGACAGGCAAGCAGGCACCCATCGCCTAAGAAAGTCTGAAAGGTGTCCTTAGCGTCGAAGCATTTCAAATCCCCCTCTGATGTAGGATTACGTCCCATAGCATCAGATCAATGCAGAAAAGCAATGATGATTGTTTATTCAGTGGATGGATTTGTGAAACTAGTTCAAGTGATACTGCTCCCTGCTTACTTTTTTATCCAGCGTTGCACACCCGGGCACGTTTATATAAAACTTAATTTTAATTTTATTTTCTTTTGAAAAGAACAACACGTCGTCAAGCTTCCTAAATAAATATTTATTTATTACTTCCACAACTCCTAAACAATTTAAATCTCTCAAAATCCTTGGCCACGACCCCGGTCCCTCGTGCATTGAAAATTTTTTCTCCTTCCCATCGCCCACCCTCCATCACACTCCATGGGAAATGAAGGTACCAATCGACGTCCGCGTTATATTCAATCCCCGACGATCTCTGCAGCGTCCCCGCATACATTGTGACAAAATTGCTTTATGATAGGCCAGAGAAAATAGCAGACAATTTAATGGAGGTATACACTACTAGGCCACAGGCCACAGTCCTTTATTCTTTTTTTTTTTTTTTTTACCGCTCTGACTCATTTCGCCTTGTTGCCCTTGAGTGAAACACTGGAGTGGTCCTTGACTCCTTCTCATGCCCGATATTCAAGTTCAGTCCTTCTAAGAAAGTAAGAAAGGAAAAGAAAAACGAAAATTACCAATCTCATGACTACCATCTTCGACTCCATTCTCTTGGAAAGAGTAGAGGACCTAATCCCTGCCGTTAGTTCATGTACACTACCCGTAGTTAGCAGGGTTAGGGCAAGGTGGAGATTCATCCTAAGGTTCTCTCCAAAGCTTTCTGCATTACATACATACATGGTACATAGTACATACATACACAACATACCGGATGTTCTAGGAAAAGGTTAACTTCCTAAGTCCGATCGGGTTTGTTTTCCTTGACTCTTTTGGGGCTAAGTTAGTTCCGGGTCTCGCCTTGTTGCTGGTTGATTTGAGCTCTGATAGACTACTTCCCTCCGTAGGACCGAGGATGGTAATCTTGATTCTTGATTGTGCTGACGAATGGTTTTACTTTCGTCACCGCTCTTTTTGGGGGTGGGAAATGAAAGAAAGTATATTAAAATTAGAATAGCCCTGATTGATGGCTAGTGATTCTATGAGCTGGTCCACGTGAACGATACCTATTCTGGGATTTAGCATCAAGATATACTTCTTGAGATAAAGGGGTGACGAGGACTTGAGATAGCCACGAGTGGATCTATAGGTGAGCATTATATGGATAGAGTTTGTGATATTGATATGTTGTGTTGGATTCATTTCCTAAGATCAAAGCTACCAACCTCGGCAGTCGGTACTAGGAAAAGCGTACGGACTAGTAAATGAGTTGGTGTAGAATCAAGGTTTAGTGGTAGTGGTAGTACTAATGACAAGGATACTTGATTACTTTTGCAAGTCCCGATATTTCTATCTTGTAAAGATTCTAGATTGTATAATGTAGTTCATTGCGTTCTGACAAGTTTTCCAGTGTAGACATATCAAGCGGATTCCGATTAGCTACTCCAGAGAATGATGACACGGTGAATACTCAGCCAGAAATAGTCATTTTGACCGCGGTCTGCGAATTGCGCGAGCTGTTGTTACTACTTTCGTCTCTTCCGGCCTGCTATCGCTAGTATCTAGCTGTCGGGTCTGGACGCAAACTATTCAATCTATCCGTATTATTTATTATCTTTGTCGATGGAATGGACAATCCCGGAGAGCATATTTGATAGAATCCTCTCAGAATTGGTTGGATCTGAGATTCTCTGGACAGTCTGGTTTTCGTTTGACGCAAGAGGACATTAACAATATGCATACCGATGCTTGGATCACTAATGAATGCTAACTCAATAACATAGCCTAGCAGGCGTGAAGGGTATTTATTCATACTCGAATGGACTTGTCATATGTTGATTCCACATGGCACTTGCAACAGACCCATCTAGCGTTCCGTTTCTGTTGACTCAAGAGCATCCTATTTCTGTTGCTCGTCTTCAACTCACTTGGAGGCGATATCTCCTGGAGGAGAAAACAGATCCGTGTTATCACGAGAAGCGGAGCATTCCCTCAGCTTATACTCGCCCTGCAACAGCGCATCACGAATAGCTCGCTGGTGTCTTCGAAATGGCAGTGTACCGCTCCGCATCCCTGCCAATACATCAAAATGAAACTGGTGATGTTCATATTTCATCTGTTTAGCAAACGACCTCTCCTTCAAGGCTGGAACATGCGCATAGAGATAGGAGATTTGGCATGCCAAGACGATTGACAACATTGCACTATCGCTAGGACAATCCAGCCAGATTTCGATCAGTGCATCCAGCAAGCCTGCCAATGGCGGAAATGGCGCCTTGTGTAATGTCCCATTTCCCAAAGGCGCATATTCTAGTTGTGTGTCGGTGGTGAGAGGAAACTTCCAGTTGACAGCGGGAAGGAGGACAGTTCTCGTTTGGCCATTAGGGGATATTAGTCGTCGTTGAGGGAAGGTCACTAAGTCCACCTTTGCGTTTCCAATCAGATATGGCTTTTGCATATCAAACGTCCACCCAGCCTTCACGAGCAAATCTGCTGCGAGGTCAATATCCGGGACGAGGATATATAGGTCAAACACAAAAGTAGGAACCCCATAGTGGACAAGAGCATCCTCAAACCAGATGCAGTGAAGGACTTGGTGGTCAAAAAATACTTGGCAAGGCTTGTATCTTGTTTTTACACTGTCCTCCCCCGTGCCAAGGTGGTAGTTGAGTCTGAATTTCATACGGCCACAATATCCTTGTAGAATACAAGAGGTTTGGTAAGGTTTATAGGTAAGATGTTGCAGCTCTAATTCAAACTAGATGTGGTAAACCGCCGCTTTGTGCTGGTACATTCACTGGACAGCGCCACTTGGTGGGGCAAGAAGGGCCCGCTCTGACTGCCTGAGAGTATTCACGTGATCTCTCTTTCTCTTAAGGCAGACAAGAGGTTATAACTTATACATGTAACCCTTATTCTAAAAAACAACAAAATTTAACTGGGTATACACCGAGCTAATATGAATTTAAAGAATAGTAAAGTATATTTATATTGAAAAAGTATTTATGTTAATTTATTTTATGCCTTTTCTTATGATATTAATATCCAAAGATGAAGCTCTGACCGACTCAAACTATGCAATTTTAACCCAGTCAGAAGTTAGAACTTCCAAGGCAGTCAGTGGCTCAAGGGACTCGCACTCCTGAACCGGCTTGGAATAGGACCTATTTCCTTGATTTGATTGTTTGGTTTGTTCCTTTTCCGTTGACATTCACTTTACTTCTGCGTGGGGCACGTGAGTACTAGTATGTAGTAGATGTAGTAGACTAGTAGTTCCCATAGGTATTCTAATATCACTAGCATCCCATCAGCTCATTCTCAATGGGCAGTCTTTTCATTTCCCTTAACTTGTCTAGTATCTCCTCACTTCGAAGCAACGTTATACTATATCCAAATACCGGACGAAGACCGAGAATTTGGAGTTAACACGAAGTTGCCCATCACCTATTGCCCCCAAGCCGTGTGAGTTTGGCTTTGGATTTGTAGAGGGAGCTCAGTAAGGAAGAAAGCTCCGGTTGTGGGACTCATTTAGGTAACCCTTCACTAATCTATATTTTGGATTGACTATTGATTTACCTTACGTTCAAGGGAAAGTCATCATGTCTCGGTCAGATACTCATCCTCCGGAAGAAATATGTGAGGCTGCAATGGCGGTTGGAAACGCACTTGCTCGTTGTGAAAAGTATGCCCTTGTTGGCGGCAGTGCGTGTGCGGTTCTAGGCTCGACTCGGGCAACTGAAGATGTAGATTTGGTTGTTCTCCGGGGTGGAACCGCCAACGCAAGGCGGTTACTTCGTGAATCCTCTGACTTCGAAGTTCAACCAAGAACAAATTACACAACATATAAGGCGAAAAACATAGAAGTCGAGATTTTAACGCCGCCTACTTTGTTTAAAGAGCCCTTTGATCACAACACCGAAATAATCACGATTGAAGATGCCAAGGTTTTGAAGCCAGCCTTGCTTCTGAACGCAAAATGTGGTTCAATCAATGGCCGATCTACAGAGACGAAGAAGGACACAGATGCTCAAGATATTGGTTTTCTCCTCGATTTCTGCGCTGAAAACCCAGATTATCTTCCAAAAGCCACAGAAGTTCCCAATGCAACAAAGGAGTTTGTTGGGAACCATATCCACTATTATGGAGGTCAGGAAGATTGGGTTCGAGCTGGTTATAACTTTGAGACGGGTTTGTCCTATCCAATATCGTTCAGGAAATGCCACTGCTGACGCGAACGAACTAGGCCGTTTCAACAGATACTAGGGTATTTCCAGGGGAGCTGAGCATTGAGAGTGTGTACAAACGGTCTGAAATGCGAGAAGTTGCTCAGCTCGACTAATAACTCATTGCAGAGAGTTTCGAAGTTAATCCCATATTCCACCTCGTTATTTGATATTGTCCTGTGTCATTCCGAATGCCATTCATTACTTTATACATGGATTTCGGTGACGTCCCACAGTTCTGAGTTCGGATGCCCTCAGACGGCTTTGTATGCCGAGTTATGTTTCAAAAAATGTCTTTGTGTTTGATCTATTCTAATGAAATTCAGTGCTGCTGTTTTCTTTACACTAATTAAAATGTTATATTTGTGATTTCTCAAGATCCTGCTCAATCATGAAAAGGTGCTATGTCGCCTAATTATAGTGTATACGTGATTTCGCGGTGTTACTTCAAGGTTGAAAAATTATCAGATCAATATTCCCTAAGCTCATCCCATCTAAAGTAGGTAATACCAGCTCGAGGTGGTGTAGAGATTGATAAGGTACACTGGTTGACGATCTTTTGCTCCGAGAGTGGTGACTCATATGAGACGTACTACCCTGCGAGTTAGCTCACTATTGAGTTGAATTCTTCTGTTTGTAGGCGATATCTCGGAAGGTAGGTGCAGGCTCAGGCCGGGGATTAGTCTCGTCCCATATGCTCATATGGAGGCCACCCAGGACCAACAATTAGGAGTGACAAAGAACTACAAAAATACAGGCATTCTCGAACTGAGAGGCAGATATTTAGGACACTTCTGCTTAATGCTCTACTACTGTTACCTTTGCAATACAAACTAATAATCCACTTAAACATTGGATTGTTGGCTTGGGTTAATCCCTGTGCTAAATGAGTGTGTCCATACAAGCGATGCATCGCGTTCATAACTTCATCAAAAGCAAAACAAACAAGCAAGAAGCTTCATGCCCTCCAGTGCGAGCCTTATCCCAGTGATCTGATTCAATATGGATATCTGGTATCCAAGCGTCCGGTCATCTAAACCTGAACAGTGAGGCAGTTCAACAGGCCCTGTGACGAGTCCATGAGTATTTACCATGAAGTATCTCCAGCCATGTCACTTACAATTCCATTGGTCTCACAGCAGGCTGCCTGGTTGTTGCAACTTCCCACGAGAGCTAGCATCCTATTAGTGATAACACAAAGTGCAAAGACAGGGTCAATTCTTACGGAGACAAAGCGCGGGAAGAACATTCAGATTCAGAATGCCATTAGTCAGACCAGTGCAGCATTTGTTAGCTTGCGCAGCAGTGCATTGGGACGGAGTGTCACCAGTCGGCGTAGCGCTGGCAATGGTGAAGGTAGCAATGAGGGCAACGGTATGCAGGAACTTCATGATGGCAGATTGAGTTCTTTGAGAGCCCAAGAAGATGCGAAGTGCAATTTTTCTTTTTGAAGATGATAAGATATGCGAATTCTGTTGTGATGGGAAAAAAAAAAAAAGGGTAGAAAAGTGGGAGTTTATGGAGGCTTATATAGCATGTTCGCTCAAGATACTGTCCGGTTTGGGTCATGGCTTGTAGGCCAGCTGACCCGGTATACCAGTCATCATTCCAGTTTCTATAAATTAGCATATACGAGAAACAAGATCAATCCTCTGGTGTCTCGCCAATGAGCCTTTTTTCAGAGGACAAAAGCTCAATGCACAGAACATGTTTCTCGACACAGTCCAGAACAGTGTCAGCTAGCACAGCCTAGTTGGTCAATCAGCTCCTCCTCTAGATAACCTAAAGACTCCTTGAGCACTGATTTACTGGTAAATGCTTTAACTTAGTGATTCTGTCTACAACGAGAACTGCAGGTCTCATTCTCTAAACTATTCCTTTTGCTATATCCCAAGTCTTCCTTTATCCCACGTCAACGAATGTCCATCCATTGCTACTCTATACGATGCTTTTGAATAACTGTAACCAATTAAGGACGAAAGTCTTCAGGAAATCGCATCAGGCCTCGCGCCATGCCGCTTGTAATGGTACTGGTTGCACCGGATTGATATCAAAATAGCGTTGCATCTTATTTTGCATACACAGTCACCTACCACCGACTCAGCTTCTAGGTCTGAGCGTCATTACGTACTACCGCTACTCATAGCTTGCACCGAAACCAATAAAGGGCGATGTTGAGTGAGACTTTTTTCTACCTATAGTCATGTCCAGGAGATATCTTGCCCGCCGATTCGCTAGGACCTTTGTCTAGTCAAGTACGGTTTCTCGCTACTAGAAGCTATTTCAGTTACACTGGTCATCCTAATGAGGGAAACATGAGCGTAAAAGATCGCCACATTCCCAGCCCCTTGGAGTCTACTGGTAGCGTTTCATGGTCACGGCGGGGTGCGTTTTTATCCCTTGCTTCACACTGCGGAGGGTGATGATGACCCCCAGGATAATAAGCCCGTTCGACAAAAGTCGTTCACCAACAAGTATCTGGTCTTAAAACTTCGCTTTTGTCAATACCAGCTGACATTTAAGGCCTCACCTTGCTATGTCTCGTGTAACCCAATGATGGGCTTACCTCGTCCTAGTAGATAGCGCCATTTTGCCCGGTTTCTGTATCGATTCTAGTAGAAAACACCAGTCCCGTCAACTCCTGTTCTTGAGCCAATTGTACAGTAAAAGACCAGGAAGAGGAGCAGTTGTTTCCCGGCTGCCCATCTTGATCCAATATTGTTGTGCTACAAGGCAAACCGTTCTGCGGCTTTGCCTGATGTTCATACATCTCGAACTGCCTCCGTCATTCAGATGTAAGAACAGAACCACCCTTTGCGGTTCGTAGGTCTGGTGACCATCTTGGCTTAGTGGCGTTGGCTTACTCTCCCTATCGGCATTCAGTACTTTGTACCTCTTCGTATAGTAACGGGCAATGTAACAAGAGTTGCATGTTTCGTATAGAAGTAGCGTTCTTGTGCCAGTGCTTCGAAGAATGCCGCTGACAACTCAAAGATAAAGTCAGTGATGAGTGAGAAATTGGAGCCTTGCGTCTTACATCTGGCGGCTGGAAGGAAATCTAGAATCAAGTCAGTCACTCGGAACACATCACACAAGACGAGCTTCATAACTAGAATGCATGGTAAGCAAGATACCTTGTGATGTGACCACTAAGCCCTCTAGACTCTCGTGCAGCCACTCCTGTTTGTGCAATCTTAGTTAACTAATCGATTAATATAGTTACGCCTTGGATACCTACTTGTATCCTTCATCTGATGGCAATCTCTCCAAGTATGAAACGAAATTATAATACAATAAGTAGTCCACTCAACCTCCAAGTAGTGTAGAGGTCCATGTATCCATAAAGTTACTGAAAAGCAGTTAAACTAAGCACAGTTATATGCGGTTTGAGCCACCCGAGTGTTTTCCTCCTTCACCCCCATCATACCGCCCAATTCAACACCAAATCAAAGACGTCGTAGTTGTTCCAGTTTCTCGGCCTTGCGGCCTGCAAATTGTTAACAGCCTTTGACATGATCACCGGAAGCGCCTGCTCGCTCAATCCACCATGAGATCGCAGGGGAAAGTCCATTACACTGGACAGGTCATGATCCGACCTACAACTCCCAAGGACCGTCGACGACGTCGAAATGACCACAATGTCTCCCTCCCGTTCCAAGGGCATAGCGTACCTTTGCGCCGCATCCTTTCCGCTAAGAGCAACCTTGGTTTCTGGCAAGGCCTGGCAGAAAGCAAGCGCCGGTTCCAACAGGGTCTGATCCCTGAGATAGACGCGCACAAATGACCCAAGAGCCCCATGATGACGCACGAACGGGTCCGTTATAGGACAGATCACCCGTGCTGCATTCTCACCAAACTTTGCGTTTAACACATCTTCGATGAACAATACATTGGGCTCTCCCGCATCGTTGGACTTGCGACTCATTCTGTGGTCACCAGTCACGCCAACAATCGCCATCGCAGCCAGCTTTGCCAGTCCTTCGTCAATGGCGTTCATAAAGTCATCCGCCTCCGGACTGCTAGGGCCGTGCTTGTGTTGCACATAATCAGACAGCGTGAGGTAGAGAAAGTCAGACTTGTCCTCCTGCAACAGCTTAATGCCTGCATCCAGTACATACAGGGACAGGTCGGCAGAGTATTGACTGGGAGCAGGTCGTCCAACCCATTGCTCGATGTCTGTGATCCCGTTTTCCGCCAGGGTGCATTCGGCAGCCCTCTCCGCCGAGAAACAAACGGCGTCACCTTTTAGCCCGTGGGCGAGGATCTTGCGCACCTTATCCTTGGCCGTTACAGCTGCTACGCGCACTCCACACTGCGACATCTGCTTGGGCAGCGTGGATCCGCGGAGTAATGAGTCGTCGCAGATCATGGTCTCTTTGCCGGTCGAGCGGTCTAGGAAGAAGTTTCCTGCGATGCCGTGGATACTTGGGAGTGCAACTGTGATGATTGAAACATTGTTGGGGTTGGTGAATGAGGGCATGCAGCTCATTTCGGTTGCACGAAATCCGTTCTTCATGAAGTTGGCGAATATGGGGAGTAGGCCCCTGTCGAGTCCGGATTGAAGATACTCTGGGTCGAAGCCGTCGATACATACGACGACCGTCGGGCATTGAGGGAGTCGATACTCGCGAGAATGGAGGGTGAAAGTTGCTCGGTGTTCTGCTGCTATCAGTATTGGAGATTTCTATTATGCAGGACATAATATACTACTGACCAGGTTGTTCCATTGTATAATGTATGCGTTCTAGGAGAAAATGAATAGCGATATTGTTGCTCAACTAGGAATTAACTATGACGTTCCATGTCGTGGAATACCAACACTTAATATACATACTCGAGGGACGAAGTCCGACTTTTGTTTTCCACTTGATTCTATAGCCCTCGCAAGTCTGGCGGGGTTGATTTGTTGCGCCTATCGCTGGCTCTACCTTCTCGGTACGAAAACCGCACATCCGATGCGAAGACCGCGGAGGAACACCTGATGAGCGAAGATACTAGCCACCCCAGAGGCACGAAATAACCGTCACTATTATCAGCGGCCGTCGTAGGCTACAACGAAGATGCGAACCAAGTCAACGTTTTCCTGGGACCTCATATCTCGGTCGCATAGTCGTTGGTGGCTCCAGTGCAGGCAGGAATGATCAGCGTATACTCTGATGCCCTGAAGTTTGGTAGGCAATGTTGACGTGCACTATGAATACCTCTGAATAGGTTTCTATTATATTTAGGTTAAACTCTAGCTAGATTTGGCACCGATGAGGGGGTTACCCAAGTATAAATATCGGACGCAGTAAACATCAACACCCCCACGCTGCCCGATCATCCTTGAATACAATATGTCTACTTTTGACGAAAGACTCAAGGGAGTAATTGCAGGGCAAATCGGTCTTCCGATCGAGAATGTAGGTGGCCTCCATCTATATAATCTGTTACTTGATATCAATACTGACCGATTCCTTGTAGATAACGAATGAAGCAAGATTTGTGGAAGACCTGGAGGCCGATTCTATGGATTGGACGTAGTGGAGATTTTAATGGTAATCGAAGATATAGGGGCCATTTACCCACAACGTACCCTCCCTGGTAGTTTTCGTGATCTATAAATTTACTGACTAGCTGGTCAGGAATTCAACTTAGAGATTGATAATGTCCCTGAATACGGAGGCATTCTCGACCGGTAAGTGTTTCCAGGTGTTTACGTTCTTTTGCGTATGCTAATTTCCAACTCTATACGGACAGTCCAATACACCCTTGACTTTTACAGGCCGTTCGTAAAAGAATGAGGTCTTCGTGAGAACCTAGTCCATATACTAAGAGTATATAAGTAGCTTAGGAAATACAGTGGACAAGAAGTATCTATAAAGGGGCTTTTGCAATTCAACACAGCTCCGTTTCATCGTCATCTGTGACACAGCATTATATTTTGCGCAAAAGTCGTGGAGCTACAAGTTACCTCCGTACTATTCTGGGTGGTTGGATCCGTAGGCAAAATAAATATTTAGAAACTCCACCAATAATAGTTTTGATTACTTGGGACTGCACCTTCTTCTGAAGGGTATTTATATATGGTTACATATAGGGAAACGAGGCTGAAGTACTTGGAGCAAGTGCCTAGAGCCAACCAATTTCACATCGCATCATACTCCGAAGCGCCGTGACCAAGCTTGCATGGCGAACACAACCTGTCATTTGTGGTATCATCGGAGGCTTCGCATACTCTTAGTTCCGTACTGGATAGCTCAGCTCCTGCCTTGGTCCGCCTGAATCTCCATGAGGCGGTTATTCTATGGGCTGGTTACTACACGTTCTATGAGCAAATGTCCCCGATCTCAAGATATAAATACTAAGTAATTTTCGGCGTTTCTGACAATGTATATTTTCAGCATTCTCTAGCCCTCAAGATATATACTATCATCTTCATCTATTAAAAACGTCGTCACTTGAAACATCGTGATCATTATGTCTGTCGAGACAATTACCTATAATGTTTACCAAGTTGTCTTCAGCTAGAGACGTGGCCCAGACCACGAGGGTATCGCTCTGGTCCCTGCACAAACCGAAAACCAAGGTGCTGGTAGATTTTACTATGCCACAGGAGATGTTGGTGTTGGTATGGATTACGACTCCAGACCGGCATGCCGTCTCAGCGACAGCAAATTCTATAAAAGCTTTACTCTGTAATTCCAAGTGCCAAAAACCCGGTTTATATATTTTGAAACAGATAGGGGTAGAAATACGGTAAAAAATAACTATAGCCCTGTTGTTGCGCAGTGACCGCTATAGGCCTCCGTACTTTTCAATAAATGGAACAGGGATTGACTGGAGACTCTGTTACATCGTGCACAAATTGTATATGCATGTTTCACAGTTCAGCTCCATACACCCTTGTCAGTGTAAAGATACATACCGTATGAGTTACAAATACATGACTAGGCTGTGGTGCATGTCAGAATGACCGTAATATAACATCCCAAGAATAGGAGCACCAAGAAGTCGCCGGATTAGCCGGTCAAAGTAATGCTTCCTGACGTTAGTATTACTACCGTATACTAAAGTCCACATAAATTTGACAAGCTTTATAGCGGAGAGATGTTGTCTGAGAGGAAGCATCAGTCATGTTGCTCTCTACTGTATACCTGACGCTTTATACACAAGACTGCCATCAGACTTTTAGGTTGATTTTGTATTTGGGGCTCTATGGCTTACTGAGCCTGCCTCGATTCGCAATAAATGCCAAATACGGGGTAGTTAACTATTCCTAGTATGAATGAAGAAAAAAAAAAAAAAAAAAACTCTTCTGGCATCGGTTAGAAACTAAGGGTCAGGTACAGGGATAGTGCTACCACAGTTAGAGAACAGAATACAACTACCTAACTGCATAAACTGTTTCAAAATAGTCTAGCTCGAAAGAATAGGTAAGTCTTCGGTATTACCAATACGTTCCATTGACTCTTAAAAACTCACTGAATATCTTATGAATCCTGCCCTCCGCCTAGGTTGCGTTCGTCAACACCCTTTATATACTCCATCTCCTGGGTCGCTTCTCTGACTTCCCCGAACCCTCTCTTTCTCTCTCTTCCAGACATGCTGTTGCCGGTAGTTCTGATGATACTGTCATGGCTAGTCAGTGTTGGAATCCAACCCGGCTTCGTCCAAGACTGACCTAAACCGTTTAGAATCAATACTCGTACACCATGCTCATCGGAACACTATCCATGATTGAAGGGCCACGCGGCCAACCCTCAACCGCAGGAAATGCGACGTATATCACCAGCTCTCTTTGCACCACCATTAACCACCTACGTACCCACGTCGGCAACTCGTTCTACCTCCGAGGGTTCGCCCTCGTCCTCATCCACGACATAGCCCGAGATACCATCCTCCCAGCTCTCCTACCAATCAATGACAACTCGCCACTCAAACAAGATGTCCGCTCCCTAATTTTCGTAGCGATTTTGGCATAATTGCAAGTTCTCTGGGTCCACATTGCCATCACCCGGCCATCACCGAAGTTTCTTTACCAACGCCTTCCCAGCCTGAACTGCTGGGTCCGAGTGATTCCTATAGCCCTGCTTGAGTCTATATTGTGCAGGCCGGCAGTCCCAATCACGCTACTCATTGAACTCTATCTGATACAGGCTGTGGGAAAGATAGACATTGACCAAAACCTGGATAATAGCCAGACAGGAGGTCATGTCTACGCACTTGCGGCTGTTGCTCCCATATTAATTAAATTTTGGCTTGCTCTTCCTGCTCGAGTCATATTGGTTCGGATGGCAGCATCGATGGTCCCAGATGATGATGAACTGATTGTAACGCTTGATGCACGGCTCAAAGGTGGTGGTGCTCCCCTGAGCATGTTCGGTGCGTGGAGGAAGGATTCCTGGGCGCGTGCTTGTAAAATTCAGACTAGGGGGTTTATTGCAGGGACTGCTATTTTCCTCTTAGGCCAATTGGTTCTTCCTGATTTTCAAAGTTATGTTCCTTTTGTGCCGATGTGGTTTAATGGTTGATCAATTTTTATCGTTTGCGTAGGCATAATTGTATACAACTGAAGAGTTAGGAAGCAGTTTACTCTAATCAGTATATTGCCATTTGGTGCAGACCGAGGCTTGAATGAAGAAGCTAAACCCACCAACTTGGGCCAGAGGGGTCCAGAAGCATACAATGGTATGTATGAAGGGCTGCTCCCTGGACTTACTGGAGAATATTCATCTTTGGGTCGATGCCAAAGCTGGTGCATCTTCTCCCTCTCCTTCATCCAAATCGGCTCCACCACGGCATTCAATGCGATCCTCTCTCTCTTAGCACCCTAGACCTCTACATCCCCTACCTGATCCTCCTCATCCTCCCCGTGTTCAAGCGCTTCACTGCGCCACAGTATATCCCACAGGGTACCTTCACGCTGGGCAAAAAGGGTCTCCCCATGAACTTGCTTGCCATTCTTTTCGCAACATATTTTGTTATCTTTTTGACGTTTCCATCTACCCTGCCAGTTACAGCGGAGAACATAAATTATATGGAGCCAGTGCTGGGCTTTGTTATGTTGTTTGCTTGTGGGGATTAAATTGTAAGGTGACGGCATAAGTGGGAGGGGCCGACTATGCGGCCGTATGCGAGGAATGAGTAGATTATCATATATCTGAGGACAGTGGGAGTGGGGGGGGTTGACGTGGGAAAGTGGGTGATGGGGGTAATATGCCGAGAATAGTAATATTTAATAGTTGGTTAGAAATTATCCTTAACAGTACACAGCTTTTAATTAGTTATAATAGAGCGTACGCTATTACAATCGTTTTGGCTACAATTTATTAAAGAGGGCGAACCTGCCAGACATGGCTTACAAGATTAGGGGACAGGTTTCAATTGTCTTTACCCGCCTGGGAGTTATGTTGATGTAGCTTCAGAAGGAGGTCAAGCTGCGCACCGATCTAGACACAGAATCCGGCCGGGACAGATCCCAAGCAGAAGGTGAGCAACTGGAAGTGGGAGTGGCATAAGCTGGATAGGGGTTTGTTTCTTGTTCCTTGGTTTCTTTTTGGCTGACTTCGCCAGAATGCCGGCTTCGTAGAGCGCGCAACTGGACTCAATGTCCTTAGTGATATGTACTTATTTTCATTAGCATCTGTGCCCTATCTATAGCCAAGATAAGAATTATCTGAGAAGGGGAAAGCTCAGCAATGATAGCATGTCTGTAAAAGCCTGATAATTGCACATGATAAGCATTTAGATTGCCCGAACGCGCGTTTATATAATGAGTGGTTCATTTTCTATATAGCAATAGTGTGGAAAGGGAAGATGTACATACACTAAGAGCCGGAATGCTACACGTTCTTTGCTAGCCCGTTGCCCGTGTAATACACGAAAACAGCAGACGGCGGTCTAGACTCGGAGGTTCGAAATCTATAGAGCTCTTCAATATAGTAGCTCTCTATCAGTGGCACATATAAAATCGGGAGTTATCACCATACCGCATCCAAGAGTAACTTCGAAGACAACCCGCACGTTCTGTCAAAGGCAGCCTGGTTTGATGCTGTTCAGCAGATCATCGAGTTCTAGGGAACTTTTGATGGAAAGCATAAATAAATTGCCTTCTCTGTATGTTACACATGTATTACTGAGCGAATTTCAGAAAGATCATTAGTTTACTATTTATTGACAATCAATAGTATAGAACCGCTTTTTGGCACAGAATTTTAACTAGAGGTGTTTTCTATGACACTTAAACCAATACAAATTCTAGGCCGTTAGATGAACGTGTAGAGGTTTTAAGCCATTTGCCGACTAGGTAGAGGACCGAGCATTCCTAGTAAAAGCTTTCCTTCGACTAAGCCTTACTCGACTACCGTTATAGTTTACTATCCTAGATTTGAAGCCAGAGTTCCTGAGAAAGCCTCGGAAGTTTAGTGCGTTGATCCCATGTTAAACTCCTACATCAGCTATGACCAGCCAATGAAGCTACGAACTATTACTTATACCAATACAACTAATATTTTAGGGTGGTTCATTTTGGGAACCTAAGTAGTAAGACGTAGTAGCTGAACTTAAACTCTGGTATCCAGCCGGGCGTTGAAGATCATGTCGATCACTCTTTAATAACTTGTTCATGATATACCTTCAAAGAATTTCAACTACGCTCTGTACAGTGAAAGGCAGCATGAACACAAATAACAAAATAGCTCAACTAGACATGTAACACAGTTGGGCAAAGTAAACCGTACCCATGAATTTGAATGCAGAGCCATCAAATCTCTCAAGTGTTCTATACTTCAATCCTAAGACTGTCTCTTGGCATATCAACTATATAAGGACATCCATCTTCCAGCATAGAGACACTTATTTATCAACCCAAACCATTCATTTTTATTTTCCTATTAGTCAGTTTTCTTTATAATTTCATTTCATCTAGTGCTGGCCACTTTTAGTATTTCAAACATCGCAAAAATGAAGACTACCGTTTTCTCAGTTTGTGTTCTTGCTTTTCTTTCTGCGTGCCCTGGAGGTGCGGTTCCAATCGATAGCGATACTGGTGTCAGTGTAACTCGCGCTTACAACGGTTCAGCTCCTGGATATGTACTTGATAACGAAGACAATGCTGGCGATGCTGGTGCCATGGCCATTTCAACCGATGGCGACGAAACGTCACCTTGGGTTAAACGAGCTCCAGCAGACTCCCAGTGGAAATTCGTTGAAGAGAAGCCTCAGGGCGACAAGACCCTCCCTTCAGGATCAAGCGGCAATGCTGGCCAAGAGTTGGAATTCATTGAAGAGAGACCTCAGGACCCACAGCGCCCCAAACAGTGGAAATTCATTGAAGCGAGACCCCAAGGTGACAAGGACCTCTCTCCAGCACCAATCCCTCAGGGCGACAAGAGCCCCACTCCAGGACCAAGCGGCAATGATGAACACCAGTTTCAATTTGTTGAAGAGAAGCCTCCGGGGGATGAGAAGTTCATTCCAGCACCAAGCGGCAATGATCGCCAACGGTTGCAATTCGTTGAAGAGAGACCTCAAGACAAAAAGGACCCCCCTCCAGGATCAAGCGGCAAAGGTAAAGAAAAGTGGAATGTCATTGTAGCGGGATCTCAGGCCGACATGGACCTCCCTCCTGGACCAAGCGGCAATACCGGCCACCAAGAGCAATTCGTTGAGGAGAGACCTGAGGAGGATAGACCCCCCACTCCAGGACCAGGCGGCCATGATGGTCGATTTCTGAGATCTGGAAGAGAGCCTGTGTGGCGGTATGGTGTAAGTCAAACCACAAAATGATCGCTTGTCATGGAGCTGACTGTGACAGACCTGTCACCGTTCAACAAACAAGCGTTTCCCACACGGTCAATGCGTTATCCAAATGGATTTCCCCCGACCTATGCATAAGAGCGACAGCTTGGAATGGAAGGTTTCCTGTAGCGCGGATCACCCGGTAAGAGCATTATCAATAACGTATCATTTATTGTGTTTTATATGTACTGATCCTAGCAGTGTGGAAGTGAAGGGATAGGAGCCTGTACCGTAGATGTCAGCGACAAGTATCATGTCCCTCATGCAGAATGTACCTGAATGGGTCCATGAAAAGAGAAGGCCAAATGTGGTTGCTGCGCATGTTATGCTAGAGGAATATATATAGCTACATCCTGAGCATGGTGCGAGGGAGGGACTGATGGTGTTTTGCTGGAAGCAGGGAGGGACACTGTGGCTCGATATTTGCTACTCCCCTCCTGTGTTATCCGTCCGTTCGTTGATAGAATGCTATAATCAACTATGCATTTGGAGATGAACAAGATTCATACATCCAACCCAATCTTAATTGAGCTTCACCAGACTTCATTCGCGCTGAAGTCTCTCAGCACAATTGAATAATCCAACGTATGCCCTAATTTGGAAATAACCTGCATATTGGAGACAGGCGTCAGACACCCTACCATCGAATGATCCACTACTCTAAGAATTACCGTTGAAATTTACTTACTCCTTGCCAAAACTTCCAGAAACAGTAATCCCTATATGTGTGCACTTATTGTTTATCAAGCCCTAATTCCAAGATATGCTGACGTACAGACGTATGGTATGTACATGTACGGAGCAAACCATAACCAAAACCTGGTTATATTACAGTACATGTTTCAGGTATACAGTCGAAATTCGAATTCTTTTTAGGGTATGCAAACTCCGAGAATTAAGCCCTAGAAACAAACCTATCTGATAAGTCTTGCCTACCAGATTCGCCTCTTCAATGAATCGTAGCCAAAACAGTTTCAATGGCGTGCATTGCATCATAACTAATTGAAAGCTACGCCGCATGCCGAAAACTATGTATCACTAGCAATGGCTTCATTTGTCCTGGAAGGTACCAACAGCTCAGCATGATGGCATCCAAGGCGCTGTAGAGAGACAGCTTCTATTGCTGCTTCTTTAGTAGCAAATCTAGTCCATGCTCAGCATACCATAAATGTAATATTACTACCTTATCCTACCAACAAGTAACCCATCTTAACAGTCTCCACAGTGCCCGGTCATATTTGTCCTGGGGAAGACTATACATTGTAGTAAGTATCTAGCTGGATCCTTTTTCAATTGTAAGACTTTGTCATGCCGCTGTTAAAAGGCATCAAGCTCCGATGAACAGAAGATCGGTGTGCTGAATTGCCTAACATAATTTCGGTTCTCACAGGTCAAGATCCGTCTGATTTTTGGGAATAAATATGGTATATGTCGGTACCAAGACCGAGAGAGTATGGAAAGGGGAATAATATCAGTTTCCGGCATTTCGGTATAGTGGCGCAATTTAGATTACTCGGCAGATTAACGGTCGGATTGTGGGCTACGAGCTGAGTTATCTATTTATAGGGAGCGAATTAGTACCCCGGCTTCTTAAATTTTGACTGGGGGGTCAGTTGGCTGGATTACAAAGGCCCTTTATTTATATCTTTTGTCAACTGCATTTTTCTAAGCTAGGGAATCACAGAGAGGGTTGGTTGAGAATCCTCAGTCGCATGAGAGGAATCAATCCCTGCAATAGATGTGTATACACGAGATTACAGTGACCTCCAATGCACACGCTGGTAGAGCGCAGAATGCTAGTCAAGAGATTTCATAATGTCCTGGATGCTACCAGACTCGGAATGCCAATTAAGCTACCATAAGCTTTTCTTCGTAGATTAGAAGTACTTTAAGCAAATCCTCCATTGGCTACAATCAATGACCAGATTTGCTATCTTCAACCCAAATGTCTCATGTTATCAGCTCTTATACCTACCTAACTTTATATCCCCTATCAATTTATCCATCTATTGAAGCTGACCAGACTCGATAATCTGGACTTTGGCACTGGGTGTACCACTGTTAGTTCCGAGGGATTCGATCATTTTCACCAGGCCCATGCCTTCAGCAACACGGCCAAAGACGACGTGGGCTCCATCCAACCAATCTGTGACAACCGTGGTGATGAAGAATTGAGAGCCGTTTCTGATTCGCGGTGAGCGTTTTGCCATCAACAAATGGATCCAACTTACGTGCCCGGGCCAGCATTGGCCATGGAGAGGAGACCGGGAGTGTCATGCTTCAATTGGAAGTTCTCATCGGGGAAGGTTTCGCCGTAGATGGATTTACCGCCAGTGCCCTGTTCATCTTAGATGTGATCACGATGTACAAAGGAAAAAGGGTGGGGGGTTGCTTACATCTCCACGGGTGAAGTCACCACCCTGCAGCATGAACTCCGGGATTATACGGTGGAAAGAGCTTCCCTTGTACCCGAATCCCTTTTCACCGGTGCAAAGGGCGCGAAAGTTCTCTGCGGTTTTAGGTGTGACATCGGAGAATAACTCGAAGATGATGCGGCCCTGGGGGTCTATGGGGTGTATCAGCAGTCATTCGAATGGGGAGCTGTGTACTGATTCTTACTGCCGTTGATTGCGATGTCGAAGAAGACAATAGGCCGGGCCATAGTTGCCGATAAGTGACGTATTGATAATTTTATGAAGATGAAATAATGGTCGGATGCAGGGTTGCGTTTATCGTAATCGATTTTTATTTATACGAGATTTAATCGCGGGGTAGTGGGGATGACGTACTAGTATGCCTGTTGATTTTCGCGTAGGCCAGAACTCTTATCATTGGGCGGTTTGTATTTTCGACATCCACTTCTTTAGGACTGGAATCAAAATGTACCCTAATACGGAGTACTCCGTACTTGATTATCTATCACAATAACTACATAGAAAAAGAAAAAGAAAAAGATAGACACATGGATACACTTACTAGTTCTCATTCTTTCCACACATTCATCCGGAATCTCTACCTCAAAACTCTGACAACATAGTCAGCAAATCTATGGATCATGAAAACTCTCAAGGACAGGACGGTGTGGGTAAATGGCCCTTACTACCTCTTGAAAGCTATCATAGGCTCGACTATCTGGTTTTCATCGGCACCCAGGTCATTCGTAAATTCCATATCGTTTGTCAACTGCAAGACATCTGTTAGTATTGAGTAACATGATGGATAGATGATGGTCCCTTGCATACTCCTCCTCGACGCCGAGATGGTCTGAAACTAAGTACTTTACTCTCTTCTCAAGATCGGACATACTCGTGTTGTATTCGAATATATTCAAGGGCACTAAGAAGATTCTTGGTTGAAGTGACGACGTTGATCGGGCAGCGTGAGGTGTAAATATTCCACGTTCCATCTTGAATGTGAGTGCCATATTTAATACTATTTATATGGGGCAGCCCCTCATTGCTTCTGAATCTAGTAAATCTTCAACTTAAATACAATCGTTGATTCGTAATATTTAAGCGTCCGGGTATAGTTTCTGAGAAAACCCTCAGCATCTCAAGACCGGCATGTATATATAATGAGAAACCTGGAATTGCCGTTGGATTAAGGCGCGTGGTAGAGAAGATCACACCTGACGTTCCACGACCATGCTCATGGTTTCGTGAAGACACGATGCCTCATACAATAAGGTCATTGATAGAGCTGGTGGGAAATATCCTGGATCTGAACGCCATGGTCTTCATTAACTTTGCTCTTGTATTCATCGCTCAGCGTGGACTCTTGCTTTGCAGCCATGCCGAAAAGACATGCGTGGGCCTCTTTATCATGGTACAACTACCTATCTCCAGAGTCTGTTAGTTCTCAATGCGAATGTGTCTCAGTTCATCTATCTATTTTCTGAGGTGTCCTCCCAGTGTGTGTTGCTCTTGGAGTACATTGGTGTCAGTGGGATGGATTTGAGTATAGTTGCGCTTCTAAACAATAGTTATAGGCGCGATCTACCCAGCAGCATAACCATGTTTCTTTCAGGGCTGTTGGAAATAAGATTAGCAGTTTCTCGTCACTTGAATATGACTCCCATGCCTTCTGCTTCTTGATATGGAAACCGAAAGAAGAAATGGGTAGGGAATGTCGAAGATATCCTCATAGCTTGTTCAAATACAGAAGACTACTAGTAACTACCGTGAACTGCATTACGATATAAACCCATATCAAACTCTCCTATACGTCTCCAAGGGAACTAACTAACTGATCGCACTACTGTGTTCAATCATGCAAAGGCAAGCACCTTCAGCCCCTTGTGTCCTATCATCTTAATCATGTACATAATTAAGGATAATTAACAAAATGCAAACATAAAGTTAACAATACAAAATATAACTATGACCAAAGTTAGCTATACTGGGTATTGCCTGTTTAACGTAACATAAACAATACTACATCTGTGTGGTACAGCAATGTTTGAGAGTTTGCCAGGTCTGACAGGCATCAGTTTAGCTTATTGCTATGGAACCTTCCAGCCCTCTAGCCTGTACCATGGATCACTGATTCAGCGAGACGTCTCACTTGGATAAAATACAAGAAATGTAATTTACAAGAACATGGTTTTTCCGTGTGTTATCTCAAGAGAGTACGAAGTATAGGTACAGGTTAAAGCTGATATGAGTAGGTAAGAGTTAGGCTGAAATCTGCGCTACGGCAATACATAAAATCCCTTGGAAGCGTGTAGCACGGAAGTACTCGTAGAGAAACTCAGCTTCGTCTTCCTGGTAGATCGATGTGGCGAACTGCCTGGATTGCTGATTGTATCACATTAACCTGACATGAAAAAAGTGGCGTCGTAATTGATGCAAAGAGTAGACCCGTCATGGATGAAAGTGAGGCTTGAAGAACAAAAAGGATATGATAAAGGAGAAAACAGGGCTCATGGTTAACGTCGAAGACTGTCCAGCCTGGCTTGTAGATCGTCATCAGCGGAACTCCCCCCGGCGCCAACCGGTTGGGCCACTCGAGTCTCGCCGACTGCAGTCTTCTGTATGTCGGTTGGCGTCTCGCCCAGCTGTTCAGAAGCAAATATTAGTATGCGCACAGCTCTGGCGTAGATGAAGAAGAGAACACGAACCGCCTGGCTGAGGTCTACACCTATTTCATCCAAGACTTCCTTAACAATATCTTCGCTATCTTCATCCTCGCCCTCCATTCCAGTTGCTTCGTCAATCGCGTCATCCATCATTTCTTGTCGCTGATCCATAATATCGTTTTCTCGTTCAAATTCCATGGCGATTCGTTGCAGCGCGGGAAGGTTCATTTGTCGGTTCATACTACCCAGTAGCATTGTGGCGCCTTTCATTGACTGCATCATCTGCTCATTGCTGCGAACGGTCTGCACAACATCAAGTGAGTAACAGGAACCGCCATTCGTGCGCTTCGGGACCATCCTACCTGAATGCGAAGGGAAATCGCTTGAAGTTGTGTTCGCATTTGGTAGAATTTCTGGATGTACCTAGATTCGGTAGTCCCCATTAGCCCATAGACATGAAACCAGAGCGAACTTCCTTTGGTATGCATACCGTCTTGTCCTGACCAGGTCTTTGGCCTGGATCTTGCAGGCTCCAATCTGACCATTTTTGGCGCTCTTCTTGATGTCTTGCACCAGCTTCTTTTCTTGATTTTCCAGCTTGGTTCGCTCCCGGTCCAATTCGCGCTGCGTTCGGTCCAGAGCCCTTTGATGTTTGCGTAGGCGCTCTGCTGGTGTCATGCGCTTTCCGAATGCCCACTCGATAACCTAGACCATGAACAGCGTAAGCGGGGATATAAGCACGGCGAATAGCAACGGACAACATACATTCATCTTGGCTCGTCAAGAAAGATTCTCAGTACAAACGGTGAAAAATGAGACCAAAGAGACTGCCTAGAAGGTACAAATGAAGAGGGCAAGATCGGGGAGGGGGAATATCTGATTCGATCCGAATGCCGCGCGGTGACATCAAACCTAAGCACTAATACGCCGAACGGGCGGATCCAAACTGTTAAGTTAAAATTACGGGGGCAACAGTCACATGGCGGCGACCAACCCCTTTTGGGGCATGGAATTTCCACGCCTTTTTTATGCTCATGTAAGCGGGTCTCCCGACTGACGAAAAACCAAGTTCCGTTTCATCGCATTTTGCCTGACTTTTCGACTTCCATGCACCACACATCTTTTTCGTCATGAGTCAGGAGTATTTTCCCGGCAACGGCGGTTCCTCTACCGGTGAGGGTTCGTCAAGACATCCGCAGCAGCAGGAAGCGTCCGAGTACCCTTTCTTCCCGAACGCCCCTCCCGCGTACATGACCGTTGGAAATGGTTCGACCTCAGAGAGCGCTACGGCCTTGATGGCATCGTTGAACAGAGACTCGGGCTATGGTGACAGTATTGCGAGCGGCAGTTTGAGGGATGGTAATACGGGTAGCGACTGGAGATCAGATATGATGGTGGATAGGCCGACCCCGATGCATACTCCAACGCTCCCGGAACAATGGAATCCAGCAGGTTGGTTACTCGGAGCATCACCGCTATCTTTTTCTGGTCCATATAGTTTACTAACGCGGGTGTATTCCAGCGGAACATGAACGACAGGTTGTGGCGAGCCATGTTCACCAGCTACTCTAGTACGTTTGCGACTACAAAAACAGGCGAATGAAAGTTCTAACCGCTTTGTAGCAACTCCAACAGGACGAAACTCGGACGCGCTATTACACGGACTCTCGAGACCTTGAAGGACCTCCAGGACATGAATCGTCAATGGCCTGCCCACTACCCGTCGGTACGAGATGCTCCAGATCATTCTTCGGACAGGCCCGCGTTGCGCCAGGCACAGTCATTCTTCGAAGATGGGGACATTCAACAAGGAGAGTTCAAACCTGGACCTATTAGACGAGCGGCTACAGTATCAAATAGCGACGACCTGGCTGCAGCGGAATCAAGTGCCGCTGCAGAGCGTCGGCCAGTGCCAGAGCCGAGATTGATAACCCCGCAGATAGCGCAGGAATTTTCTATTTTGAAGCTAGACTTGAAGCTGGGTGCTCTGTCTCAAGTGGAATTGGTACATTCGTTGGAAAAGGCCTCTATTGCGTCTCTTTTGGATGGAAAAATCAGCCAGAGTGTCAAACACCTTCTCTCGCTGCGCGACAGGATCGAAGATACCTCAAGTAAGGTTTTGATCACAGGTGACCTTAATGCAGGAAAATCGACTTTCTGCAATGCTCTACTGCGTCGCAAGGTGCTACCTGAAGACCAGCAACCTTGCACCAGCATTTTCTGTGAGGTTCTTGATGCGCGGGAGAATAGCGGAGTTGAGGAGGTGCATGCAGTCCACAAGGACGTTGATTACAATCGCAACGATGAGAGCACATACGATGTGTATCCCTTGACTGAGCTCGAGAATATCGTGATCGACAACTCTAAATACATGCAATGCAAAGTCTACGTTAAGGACGTGCGAACTATTGACGAGTCTCTGCTGAATAATGGGGTCGTCGATATTGCTCTCATTGATGCCCCTGGTTTGAATTCCGATTCCTTGAAGACAACCGCGGTTTTTGCTCGGCAGGAAGAGATCGATGTTGTTGTGTTTGTCGTTTCCGCTGCCAATCATTTCACGCTCTCAGCCAAGGATTTCATCCACAACGCGGCAAAGGAAAAAGCATATATGTTTATCGTCGTCAACGGATTCGATCAGATTCGCGACAAGCAACGGTGTGAGCGAATGATTCTCGACCAAATAAACAAGCTTAGTCCCCGTACGTATAAGGAAGCTGCAGAACTTGTTCATTTCGTATCAAGCAATGCCGTTCCTGTTGCGCCTCCTATGTCTGTGGAAAGCTCTGGTTCCGGTGGTGGCGGCGGCTTCGATTCCGACGGGGATGACGATGGCGACGATAGTAAACCCAAAGGCAAAGGAAAAGACAAAGGGAAGGATAAGCAGAAGATCCAAGATTTCGAGAACCTCGAAAGCTCTTTGCGACGATTTGTTCTCGAAAAGCGTTCTCGCTCGAAGCTCGCTCCTGCCAGGACCTATCTTCTCAACTTGCTTGGAGATTTGAACTCACTGGCCTCTGTCAATCGCGACATTGCCCAGTCCGAACTCAAGCGTGTCACAGAAGAATTGGCAGAGCTCGAGCCAGCTTATGAAGGTGGCCAGAAGAAGAAGATAGAGCTCGACGTGCAGGTTGAGAAAAACATTGATGATTCATGCGAAGATGTCTACAACCATACGCGGTCGACTTTGTGCGACACTATTGCTCGCGTCTCGGAGGCTGATTTGGGCGTTGAATATCCTGGTATCTTCTCTGCATTCCAGTATGCGGAAGATTTGAAGTTAGCCATGCTGGAGCAAATATCCGCCGCAGCTTCAGCTTGCGAGGACTACGCGCGCGTAAAGACAGTAGACGGTGTAGAAGCCATTCAAAAGATTGGTCTTCTTCACGTGGGAGACAAATTTGCGCCCTTGAATTTCCGTGCCGATATGATGTTCCGCCGTAGTCGACGTCATACATTTGCCAAACAAGTTGACACCGAAGTTGAACTATTGGACTTCTTCGACATTGCTGGCATTTGGGAGCGTCAAGAGAAGGTGGCTGGAACAGGAATGGCCATGACGGCTGTCACTGTCCTCGGAGGCAGGGTCTTCGGCGGTATTAGCTGGGTTGACAGCGCGTTTAGTGCAGCTAAGTTCCTTGGCCCCAACAACTTGCGGCGCCTCCTAGTTCCAGGTATAGTCGCAGCTGGTAAGTGTTTACTCCGTACCGAATTCTTGGGGACAAAACTAACTTAAACAGCTGCTTTGACTGCTGCATACGTACTTTCTACGATTCCCACCACACTGCCTCCTCGCCTCTCCCGCAAGATCGCCGCTGCTCTTGAAGAGAAAGACTACGTACATTCAAACGCTACCCGGATCTCGACTGAAGTCCGGCGAGTTCTCCGTATCCCGGCCAACAATCTCCAGGCCAGTCTCGCCCAGGACATTGAAGACCTCGGAAGACGCAAGCAAGAAGTCAGCAAGACCAAGGTTGAAAGTGAGAATGCAAGCAAGTACTTCTCCAACCTCTTCCGGGATAGTGGTGAGAACAGAAGGTCTGTAGAGAGTATAGACCTTGATGGCCCGCTGCCGGGTGCAATGGGTGCCCATGAGCCATGAGCTTCGAATCTCCCTTGCGTTATATGTACAAAAAGTAATGATTCTGTATGAGTTATCCGGCCGGCTGTGCCTCGAGGGTGCTAATTCCGTTTCGCTTCCCAAATATCCCTATCGTGTACAACAATTATTGTTCATCCGTTTTAAACCCTTCCACCTCACTTATTTTTATTTCCCCTTTCCATGAGGCCGTGATTCACGTTGATAGCCGTCCTGTTTACACCTGCATTGGCGTTCTTTGAAGAACTCAGCGTATTGGATTCCCACTCCACCTGGTGCTTTATCTAAAATCGTAGGTAGTCACCTATCTACACAGTCGATTATTATTACAGAGGACTTGTCATATTTCCTGATCCAAAGCGTACTAGATAAATGATAATAGATGGTATCAATGAATAATTCCAAGAATGACCAAAGACGCCACTTCGATGCTATCTATGCCATGCACAAAACCATCATTAGAAACATGAGCATACACGTCTGACAAAGATTTCCGACAGGATTTAAAAGGTATTATCCTCCGCAACCTTGCGTGCATTTCTCGTTCTCCGTCCAGACCCCCAACCGACATTTTCGAGTTCCTTAACTTCACCCACAATTAAATCTTGATTAGTAGGCTTCTTTTGGACGAGTTTACCCGCCTGATTGAGAAACTTCTCGCGCATTGCGACAGCATCCGGATCTTCGTAGTTCAATTGCGTCATTGGAGGCGGTGTTTCAGACCCCTCGTCTTCATTAATACGGTCTCCTTCGAGGAAATCGAATCTTCCACTATTAACGAGGGATGGTATCCCGTCTGTGTTGACGCTGTCTATTGCGCTTCCACACCCGTCTTCGTTTAGGGTGTCGATTGAACTAGCGCGAGAGAAGCCTTTATGTTCGGTAGAGCGGACAGACGCATGGGATGGCGCTCTTCCAAGAAGAGGCTTTCTGCGTCTTGAACGGGGGCGGTCGCCGTTCTCTCCTACGTCTGATGCGGATCGCGAATTTGCTGCTCGTGCCTGCTGGAGGAATCCGCTCAGCGTTGTTTCGATTGCTGATAGGGAGGTTGGATCCGTTGCTTGTTCCGAAGCTGTGCGCTTTCTTGGTGATATGTATGTCGTGTGTTGTTGGCTTGGTTCTTTCGTGGGGGATTCTCGTACGGTGGGTTCTTTTTGTGAGATTTCTATCTTCTCCCGTAGGGGTGTTGAATGGCGCGAAGGGACTTTGTCTGTTTCTTTTGATGTTTGTCGAATGAGCTTGTTCGTTTGGGGATGATCTGTGTAGGGCTGAGACTTGGTTGCATTGTTGCCTCTTTTCGGGTCCTGAGACTGTTCCTTCTGATCCGGGCGAGAGCCAGCTCGCTTTTCCGGGTCTCGACTGCTTTGTGAAATTGGCATGCGAATCAGAAATGGCTCGAACGGCTGTTTCTGTGCTTTTTGAATGGTGATCCATAGCCAATCGACGGTAACTGCGGGAACGTTCCATTCATACGTATGCCGTAGCTTTTCTTGATTTGCAGAACCAGTATCATTACACAGTAAAACAGATGCACTTGGCGTCAGGTACTCATTATAGGTTGCCCCTACGATGGTTAGTTCACGAAGGAGACCTAGCAATGTAGTTGGAACTTACCAATCAGGCCTACGAGTTTCGATAGATGTAGAAGATCTATACGAGAGACTCCTGTAGA